CCTGCTTTTATTTCTGAGAAATGTCCTAAATAGAAGGAAAGCAGGGCAAGAGGTTTTCCTGTGACTTGGTTGTGCCACTTTGCCATGCTCGTACTGGGGGGTTTCACAGATGTGTAGATGTGGCACTTGGGGACATGCTTTAGTGGTGGCCTTGGCAGTGCTGGGGAAGGGTTGGACTCAAAGATTCCAGAGGGTTTTTTCAACCTAAATCATTCTATGATTTTCCTTCCCATCCCAGGGCCAGTCCTTTAACGTGGATGTGTAAGAGCCATTTCTCTGTAGCCTGATGAATTCTCACCTCCCAGCACACCATCTAAAGCTTCACTGTGCACTTTAAGGACCTTTTCAACCCAAACCATTCCACAGTTCACACCACAGTCCTCAGTGCTCTTTATGGCTTTGTACAAGCAAGGAGGTTCTTACCAAGGCTGCTCAGGCATCACCTGAGTGCACCGAGAATGCACAGGAGCTGAAAGTGTTGTCCCAGACAGGCCTTTGATAATGATTTATTAAAAAGTTTATAAACCATGACAATCCCTGCCTTGGAGCCAGCTGGTGTGTTCACCACAAGCAATGTTTCCTACCCACGTGGATGCTCAGGGATCCTCCAGGCTCATCCAAGGAGCAAAATCTCAGGAAAGAGGATGGGGCTGGGCATGGCCAGACCTGAGGGGACTGAGATGCCATCAGGAGTTATTTTTGGGAAGGAGAGCACCAAAAGGCAGGACTCTCCACTTCTATTTCCAGCTCTTCTAGTGACAGGATTTGCTTTGGGAGATGATTTTGGCTGAGACCAAGGGATGTGGGAACCCAGAGTGAGGTATTTAGGCTTTTATTCAGCCTTGGAAATGAGCAGCCAGGTTGCAAGTCACAGCAGGATTGCTTACATGAATAAAGATGATGGATGCTCCTGGCTAAGGGTAGGTGCCATACAACAAAGTCTTTATTGCTGGAAAAGTCACGGCTTTCTCAGCATTTTTCTTCTGACTCAATGGAGGTTTGAATTGAGCTGCAAATACTCCCATTCTGATTTCGAGGCTCTCTGAGCACTAAAAGGCATTTGCCAATCTCTGTTTTTCTTAGCTGTGGATGCTCTTTCACCTTCACTTATTGTCATTTCTGTATTTTCCTGGCCTTTGATTTACATCAAAGTTCTAAGTACTTGAACTGCAGCGTTTTACAGAGCCCACAGCAAATGGATTTACTGGGATTGCAGCTGGATTGCACATAAGCACGTCAGTTTTATTTTAGCACAATTATCAATGCCTTGTTTACATCCCCAAAGTAATTTTCAAGTGTTTTAAATGTTTTAAGTTGCTTTTCGTTGTGCAGCTCTTGAATGCCTGTAGTGAAATACTCCTTCCTTTCCAGCTTTGCTCCTTCTAATTAAACAAATCATTAAAGTCCCTTCCCAATTCCAGGGAAAGCCATCAAAAGTGGGCAACAAGCACAGTGGCTTATTAAAAGCTTCTGTCACCTCCTTGTGTTGTATCCAGCTCCATCTCCAGGAATCCAGTTGCTAATTAGTGGTGCTCCATCAGAAGAACCCCAACATTTCTGAATGTCAGTGAATGCTATTTGAATATGAGTATTTCAGGAATAAATTTAGAGGCCTTTTAAAATTCTTATGTAAATGGGCATGTAGATTCCAAGGGGGTTTCTTTTGGAAGGCAAATTAGATGATTAACCTGAGCAGCTTTATGATGATTCTATCATGTGCTTTCACTGAGGAAGGAAAGAAAAAAAAAAAAAGGACAATCTTTCATGTTTCATGCCATTTTAAGTATTTTTATTTCCAAGGGGGAGTTCAGTCATTCCTTTTTCTGTTGCTAACCTGAAGCACGGTGGATATGAAATCTGGATATGCAGATTTTGGGCTGGGATTTAAAAACTGTAATAAGAAGCTTGCATGGGTGTTTTAAGTCAACATAACCTTTGGATGTAAAGTCAGACTTTGGAGGTCTTTGGATTTACTGGTATTAGCAGCAGTCAGATTTGCACAGCTGAGTCTTGGCTGAGCTTAAAGGTCTCAGCAACAGGTATGAGGGGTGTCAGAGCAGCAGAAGGGGCTGGGGGCCTGCAGGAATGAGGTGGGTGAGAAAATGCAACGAGGTGTCCTTCTCCAACAGGCAGATTTCTCCTTTCTGTCCCTCTGGAGAGGAGACAGTGGTCTCAAACCACCCTGAATCCTGCCCGGAGTTTTGGGGATGCTGGGTGCTGACTCCACAGCAGGACCTGTCTGCTCAGGAGGAGGATATTGTCTTCTCCAATGTTCCAAGCAGAATTGGCATCTTTAATGTAAAAATCATTAGATGGGACCTAATTAATGTTCCTTATTGCACATGAACATTTCCCAGAGTCAGGCTGCAGACGTAATTTGCTTTCATTAGATACGTAGTTTTAAAAATTAGATTCATCCTAACTGCTACACTATTTATTGGCTTGTTTCCCTTTCCTTAGCTATCCATTATTATCTGAAGCCCTTTCCTGATCTGTCTGGGTAGATTAGGTGGAATTAAAGCAGAGTCCAGCTTTCTGCTCCCCACTGCCCTCCCTCTGTGGCAGCTCAGAGGATTCATGCCGTGATGTGCACGTACCTCCCAGCTTCTCTCCTCCACTCTTCTGTCCAAAGGGGATCTGCAGATCCCTCAAAGCCTCCCAGGAGCCAGACAGACCTCAAGCCCCCCAGAGCAGTTCCCTTGCAGAAAGGTGCCATTCTCTGAGTCTCCTTTCCCAGCCCCCAGAGGCTGGTGGGCCACAGGGCCGGGCAGAGGAGCTGTGCATCACCGTGGAGCTATTTTGGGATTCGTGTGCAGCTCATCCTGTGCTGATCCAGAGCCTGCATCCCTTGCTGGCAGGACTGCTCCTTACCTGGTGGCTGGGCCAGGGAGATTCCTTACCTGTTGGGACTGAGCCAGGGGGAGGTTTTTGTCCCTGTGGGATTTGGCTGTGGATCTCCCATGCTCTGCTGGAGAAGCTGGTGCATTCCCTGCTGCCTCCTGTGCTCGGCAGAGCTGTAATTAATGCTGGCCCTGCCAGCCTGATCTGCATCAGGTCTCCCTGGCAATGGAAGCTCTGGGGAGCCCAGAGTGGAAATTGCAGCAGCCCTGAGCTGGCCCTGGGGAGCTGAGGAGCATGGGGAGGCTGGGAATGAGGCTGCAGGGATGTGCTGGAAGGGGGAGAAGCAGCAGCCACGTGTCCAACTGCTCCAGCAGCGCCTGGAGCTGCCCCAGCTCTCCCCATAACCACGGCTTGCACAATCTGTCCTTGGGATTTGAAGTGATAAAGCAAATTCTATTTCTGCTTGTTCCCCCTGTCCTATCAATCAATATCTGTCTAGTGACAACTTACCATACAGGAATCCTCTTATTTTTTTTGTGGTGTGTGTCCCTGCCAGGACTCATGAATTGATAGTGGCTTCATTCTGGATCCATCCAAGGTGATCAACTGAGCAAAAACAGTGTGCAAGCCTGCTCTGATATTGGCACTTTACAGTGATGCTTGGTCACAAAAACAAATACAACTCACAATCTACTTCTCTAATCAGAAAATGTAGAATTCTCTTTCCCTTGATCCCTTTTCATTATCTTATTTTTGTTCAGTTGGTTTTGTTTTGTTTTGTGTTTTTTTTTTGTTTGTTTGTTTTTTCCCCCCCTCTTTCTTCTCTCATTGATTATTCATTTGTTTCTCACTTCAACATAGCAAAATTGCTATGTTTGTTGTTTGCAGCAAAATCTGGGCCATTCCAGGAGTGCAGCAACCTAGTTGCAGCTCCTTCCCTCCTGGAGTGTGGATTCTGCTCCCCCTGCCACGGTGTGGGCAGCAGTGGGGCCCCTTCTCCAACTCCCAAGGCATGGCCCCAGCAATCTGGAGGATGTTGGGAGGGATGGAGTCCATCTGACTGCAGGGCAGGTTCTGGTGGGATTATTTATGGCAAGTGTTTTAAAAAGACCAGCTTGGGGAGAAAAGAACAATTAAAGTGAGACCTGGATAAGGCATTGAGTGATGTCATGAATGGGATTGCAAGTGAGGTTTTCTTACTCTCCTGAGGTTGTTTCAAGTGTCTGCACACTAAATCTGGTGTGAGAAGGAGAAATTTGCAGTGAGAAGTCAGGAAATTATCTGCCTGATACTGGATTCATCTTGTGGCTGATAAAGCTCAGCCTTGGCTGAGATGGCTCTGAAGGTCCCTTACTTCCAGCAGTCCCTACCTCACCACCACATTTCAGCCTGTGGTTCGAATAAATACTGCAAATCTCCCTATTTTTACTTGTTACTGTGACATTAATGGTCACTGCAAAGCCACAAGCACGACCTGGTGGTGTGAAACTCCTTTCCTTTATTCACCAAAAAGCAGCAGCCCCCACCAGGAGAACCAAACCTTATAAATATTCACAATGCAGTTTGTAGGAATGCGAGACAAAGTCAGACAAATGAATTATTTAATGCTCTTAAAGAATGCAGCTTTTAGTTTCTCCTTGCGCTGGCCTACTTTATTGTATTAGTAAATCGATCCCAAGTAAATTAATTTCCCTGCTTTTGTTGGAGCAAGCAGTGGGCAGGGGTGGAAGCCTCCATCCTTGAGCAGATGCCAGGACACCTCAGCAGCTGCGGATTCAGGCGCTGAGTGTCAGAAGAGAGTCGAGCTCCTGTCACTCATTCGGTGCCCTTTGATTTGCATCAGAACATGCAGCACTGGGCAGCCTGGCTGGGGACAGGCAGTGAGTGACAGCCTGGGGTGGCACTGCCCAGGCTGCTTTTGGGAGGCTGCCCGTGGATGTAGATGTCAATGAGATCTGGGTGCATGCTGGGGTTGGAGCATCTCCCCAGTTCTGTGGTAAATTAGCGACTGAGAGAGCTGATATCAGAGTTGTATCCCCACAGCTTATGGCAGGATGAGGCTTCTTTTGTCCCCGAAGAGCTGGGACAGAGAGCAGCCCAGCTCCCTCCCCAGTGCCAACAGCACCAAAATCACATTCCCTTGGGCTGGATCAACCCCCATGTCTGGCCACAGAAGAGCAGAGTAACAGCCACCCACCACCAGTGATGCTCCAACAAACCCAAAAAGTTGCCAGCCTTTCCGGGCAGCAGGAAGTTAATGTGGAGTACCTGCCTGAGAAAGGAACATTAAATCCACCCAAAATGCCCTAATCTGGCAAGAATTGCAGCACCACTTCTGTGTGAGCTTTTGTAGATGTAAATGTATAAGTAGAGCAGGAGTGGAGCTCATGCTCAGCCTATGCTCCTGCTCCTCAGCCAGCTGCTCCCCTCTTGTCCCAGCTAGAAATTTCCCTGCTCATTTGGATGCTTTTGGATGCATCTGAACCTTACTGAAAGAGCTGATGCTTCCTTGGGGAAAAAATGTCAGAAGTGACCAGAGCTGCCAGCTGGAAGGGGAACTGGATTGGCACTGGCCAAACTGGGGATAGTCCAGAGGGTCCATCCACACAGAAGCCTTCCAGCTAACAAAACTGGGCACTTGACTTATCCTTTTTACGTGGTGGTGTAGCAGCTGTGCAGTAAATACTCAGAGAGAAATTTATCCAAAGTTGCTCTCTGAGTTTGTTGGATGAGTATGAAAATTTACTGCCATTAAGACTGACCTTCTCTCTCTCTCTCCCTCTCTCTCTCTCTCCCTCTCCCTTTTTGTGTCCTTTAGTTTTCTACTAGTGTTCTCCTGCCTGGTGCTGTCTGTCTTTTCGACCATTGATGAGTACCAGAACAGCTCAGAAGGGGCCCTTTATATCCTGGTAAGTGGGGGCTGACAGTGAGATATTAAAATCAAATCAAATCCACACAAACCCCTGAGACTGGGGGTGTTTGAGGCAAGAATTTAAGCTGTCCCTTGTGAGAAGGAGACCACTCAGGCCTGTGGGACAGAAATGGGAAAAAACTTTTTAAAAGTCTATAGCTGCTGGCTTCATCTGTCTCTTCTCCTTTTGTCTGATTTCCTCTTCCCCATTCCTGCCCTACATCAAATCAAAGAATGCTGCAGACTAATTGGGGCTTCACTGGGTTTGACACATGAGAAAGGTGTGACAAGATCTGAGAGGGAAGGGAGCATGCATGGGACATTCAGGTGGAAATGATGGAAAGAGCTGGAAAGAGCTGGAAAGAGATGGAAAGAGCTGGAAAGAGCTCACGAGGCTTCAAGGGATGGAGCATCTGCACCAGATCTCCCAGCACACACAGGCAAACTGAGCCAGTTTTCTAGGGAAAATGCTGACATCCCTTTTTGTCATCCTCTAGGATTATTCCCATTCAGTGATTCCCATCTCTGCTCTTGCCTCAGCATTAACTGAGTTGAGTCCTGGAGGCTGGTGGCAGGGAGACAACGAGGTGTTCATCGTTCCTGTGCTGGGGGAACAAGCACAATATGAGAAGGGTAGAACTCCAGTTCATGTCTACAATGTGCAGCACCTCTCACCACCCTGGGGAGGGGGAGGAAAGACACAGAAGCAGAGATCTGATGATCTTTCAAGCCTGGGCTCTCTGTTGAGTGGTGCAGACAGCTCAGTAATGACTTTTCTGAGGTGTATTTTTCTGAGGTCGTGGGTTTTTCCTGGATTTGGGAGCGTGGTCTCTGACTCGATCTTCTCGAGTGTGGCCCGGCTAGCTCAGTGATGAGGTTTCTCTTCACTCGAGTTTCGAGCCAGCGTATGTTTGTGGGGTTCACTGATTTTCTTCAAGAATTCAAGTCTATAGAGCGAGTAAAGAAATCGGGGGGAGTACATCTTACAAACTTTCTACAAATCAAGGTTACACACACCAAGATAAGAAATAACAGACACCAACTTCTTCAAATGCCCACAAAGGTGTAGGCATGTAAGGCCTACATGTAGGGCATGTAAGCATGGCCTCTCAGCTTCCATAGCTCAGAGGCATTCTGGGACAGGAAAAACAAAATTACAAACTTCCGTGTTGGAAAGAAGGGTCTCTCTTCTCCCAACACCATGCTTTCCTGGGCTAAAGAAACTTCAAGCAGCTGGAAATGCCAGCAGGGTCCTCTCTTTACTCTATCCAGCCTCTCGCCGTGGGGCTGAGGAGAGAAACTTCAGTAACCATGGGAACTTGACTCCAGGTAAACAATTAGGAGAAAGAGAAGCTGGGGGGGAAATCACAACTAAAAGAGGGGAAAAGATATGTTTCAAGCTATCAACTACAACAGTCTCCATCGTCCTTTTCTCCCCACTAATGGCACCGTCCTCCTCGCAGGAAATCGTCACCATCGTGGTGTTTGGGGTGGAATACTTTGTGCGGATCTGGGCCGCCGGCTGCTGCTGCCGATACCGGGGCTGGAGGGGACGCTTGAAATTTGCCCGCAAGCCTTTCTGTGTCATCGGTAAGAGCTGAGACCCTGCATGGGATTTCCCAATCCAGGATGGCCATTCCAATCGCTTGCTTGCATGGTTCCCCAGTGTCTTGCATGTGTTTTGGGGGTTAAACTTCAGCTGCTTCATGGTCACCTTGAGAAGGGGAAAAAAACCCCAAAATGCAGAAGTCCTAATCCATGGCCATGCCTTTTGTTATTCATCACAGGGTTCTCCCTGTTTTCTGCTGACCTGGCAGCCTAACCCTAACCCTAACCCTAATGCTAACCCTAACCCGACACACTTCAAGCATTACTGACAGCTCACAGAAATAGGGTTTAGCAGGGAGAGGCTGAGCAGAGGAACTGGAATCCTGCAATCCTACGTCCAACCTCCACACCAAATTGTTCTCAAGTCATCGAGACTCTGTGTGTCATCCTGGTGCTGATGAGCTGCCTCTCAAGGGAGTTGTGAGACTTAATTAATTATTGTTTGTAAAGCACTCAGAAAGTCTCCTGTGAGAGGGACCATCTGGGCACAGCAGTGATATTTTCTGGGATTAGAAATGGACAGAGTGGCCGTGCCCTTTGCTATGGAGACTGCCTGTGACTGTCTGGGAGCTGGCAATGGACATATGCAGGATTTCAGTTTATTCCACAGCAAAACACTCCTATAAATCAGGGATGAGGGAGGTTTATGGGATCTTTGATATGTATTGAGCAAGACTTTCTTTTTTTGGCCTATTTCTTGGACTTCCATTGTCCTTAAGCACTTTAGGATTATGGAGATGTGTAGATTTTCATTCCCAGTTTAGATGGAGGAGTTCCTTGCTCTGTGTAACAGGCACCTATGACTGATAAAAGACAGGTCCTTTGGCAAGGATTTAATCCCATGTTAACCCTGAATCAGATCAAAATTCAGGCTGTGCAGCATTTGACCCATTTTCTATGGGAATGATGAGCATGGAGAACAAAAAGCTTTCCACAAGGGGTGCAGTGGCTCCTCTCATCCAGTTTCAGGTTAGTTCTGTGCCGTTCCAGCAGGGGACACAGGTGTAGGAGACCCCTGTCACGCACTGTGGCAATGCCATTCCCTTTTGGTGGTGATCTGGCAGCGCTCCCTCACCTTTCCCTGCCCCGTGTTCCCGCAGACATCATGGTGCTGATCGCATCCATCGCCGTGCTGGCGGCGGGGTCCCAAGGGAACGTCTTTGCCACCTCGGCACTCAGGAGTTTGAGGTTCCTGCAGATCCTGCGCATGATCCGCATGGACCGGCGCGGCGGCACCTGGAAGCTCCTGGGCTCTGTGGTCTACGCACACAGCAAGGTGAGCAAGGCCCAGGCAAGGACGTGGAGCTGCTCTTTGTGTTCTCCCCACCAGAGACACTGCTTTGGTTCAGCTCTCCATCCCAAAGGTTCTTCCAGGCCTGGAAGATGAGATTGGAGGGACAACGTAGGTAATGCAGAGGAGCAACACGGTCGGAGACACAAGGTCTGATGGAGTGCTCCACCAGTCAAGAAGGGAAGGGAGAGAGAGATTCCAGTCATGAGCCCAGTCCCTGATGTAGGGGGATCAGTTTGGGAAGAGGTTGTTGTTAAATTGCTGATTCCTGATGCTGTATTTATGATTTTAGCATTTCTCCTGTTTCCTTCACTTTTTTTCCCCAGAGAAGCTTAGCCAGCTTCTCCAGCACTGTGTAAAAATCATAGGAAAATTTGTGCATCTCCTTTTTCCACCCTTGCACTAACCTAATCCAAAAATAATCACTCCTGTGAATTCTGAAATAAAACTTCCCTGCAACTGTGGGATAGTCCAACAAGACCCCAACTTCACAGTTCCTCCTTGTTTAGTGGATTGGACTTGTCCTAAGGAGAATATCCAGAGATCTGGGGGTTCCTTTTCAGTTTCAACTCCACTTCCCTGTGTGAACTGGGGAAATATGAGGGTTTTAAAATCTCAGTTCCAGTTCTTGCAATAATGGAGCTCTTAACAACCCCTCCTCCATTTGCTGTGTGTGTTTGGATGATTTGGTCTTCAAACCTGGCAGAGCCACGGTCCCATCTCAGAAAGTGCCATCACTGATCTCCAGCCAAAGCCCCAAAACCTAAACAAGTGCAGGGAAAGTTCAGATCCAGCAGCAAGCGAGAAACTCAGCGTTTGGAGATGCGCACCAGGACTGCAATTATTCTCCTCTTTCTTTTAATGTTCTCACAGGAGCTGATTACTGCCTGGTATATTGGCTTCCTGTGCCTCATCCTGGCCTCTTTCCTGGTGTACTTGGCCGAGAAGGGAGAAAATGAGCACTTTGATACATACGCAGATGCACTCTGGTGGGGTCTGGTAAGTAATTTCCATAGAGCAGCTGCTGGTTATTAAAATAAAATGTCCATTAACCCTCCATCTTCTATCACTTACGTGAGGTATTGACTTAGAGAGTGCTTAGTTAACATTTTTATTAAATGGCTTCAGGCTGTTCCATTTAGCTCTTTTTCTTACATAAACCTCATAGAAATTGTTGGGGGATCACATTTCTGAGTTAGCTGGAGCTGCAGGGGAACCAAGAACTCATGTGCTCCCAGTCGTGGGATTGAGCTCTGTCGTGACAGAGGTGGGTCAGAGAGAGATCCTGCACCACGGGGCGCTTTGATCATTGTTTTGACAAGTATTGCTGTTCTTTAATTATTCAAATTGCATTTGGGCAAGGCACTGGAATAAATTTCATAAAATTAATAGGGCCTAAGTAGCAGAGAGTCTCCAGCGGGGCGAGCACTCCCTGTCACATCTCTGCTGAAAGGGCAATACTTGTGGTTTGCTGTGCGTGTGCATGTGAATTATTGGATTACCCGATTAACAAAGAGAGAATTAATGACGTTCTAATCTTCTTGTGTTATTGTTCTTCTGCTCCATCACTAGTTTGGCCTTGATTACAAAGCATGTAATGAAAATCCCCGATCTGATCAAATCCCAATAACAGGCTTGGGGAGAAATCGGCTGATCAAGCAGCTCCTCCATTCCAACAAAGGGAAAGAGGCTGTAAATTGCTTTTCAAGCCCTTTAGTTAGGACAGAAAAATAAAAACAAAGCCCAATTTGACATAACAAGAAAATAAACAATGAGGGAAAAGTGACAGCTCAGATTAGAGCTCAGTCTGGGGAGAACTATGGGCAGATTTATCCCTTCTGCTTCTGAGACTGTTTTGCCACTGAGAAGTTCAGAAAATAAATTAAGCTTCATTAAAATGAACAGTTTTTGTCAGAGTCCAGCTCATGGATCCAATATGGGCAGATGTTGAGAGATGGGATAAATCAAATTTCAGGGTCAGAAGCTCATCCCTTGGTTGATCTTAGTGTATCCAACACTTACTGTTGTCTATAGAAATTACAAGAATACTGTAAACCAGATTTGCAGTGATTATGGAGCGAGCCTTGCTCTGACTCTGTTTCAGTAAGGATTAGCCATGTTGATGCATTTTTCAACCACTTGGTCAAAATAGCATCTAATTGATAAGGCTTTTAGTGGGACCAATTAAAAGGCACTTTGGGATCCTACTTCCATTTGTGTAAAAGTGATTTTTTATTCTAAATGGAATGCATCTTTCCAGTGCCACATCAGCATGGTGTCAGCTCCCTTCCCTGGGGCCAGCTCTGTCCGTGGAGGCTGTGTGACAGGGACAGCCTTTGGGATCAGAAGTCTCAAAGATGTTTCTAATCAGACCATCCCTCTCTGCCTTGCCCTGCCAGTCCCAGGCTCTCCAAATCCTCTTGGAAGCCTTGGGGGAATAGTCAGCATTTCCCATGTGATGTCCATGGAGTGAAGTGGGAAAAAGTGTCTTCCACTGGAGTTTGAAATTCAGGTGACTGTTTCCAACAAATGTCTCATGTCCTTCCCCAAAATACAGACAGCAGCTTTCCACCTCTCTCTTGGTGCATTGCAATAGCACAAAACCCATCCCTAGATGAGGTGGTGTGAAGGAGCCATAATTCATCCTCTCAGCCTAACAGGCTGTTTTTAAATAGGGGAGTGGAGACCAGCTGATAGGCGCTGCTGGGAAGATTTGGAATAAACAGCAGATTTTGTGCATGCAAATAGCTTTCCTGAGCTGCCGAAAGGGAGTTTGGGGGAACGGTGCTGGTTCGCTTCCCCTGCCGAAGGCACAGCCCCTCCTGGGGGAGGTTCCGAACACCGCCAGCCTCTGCACCAGATGGCAGCTCTCTCTGACAGCAAAAGGCACTGAAACACTCCCAAGTGGTGTGAAACCCAGCACGTGAGCAGGGTTTGGGGTGTCTGTGCATCCTGTATCCATCCCTGCTGCTTCCCCAGCTCCCCGAGCTGCGCCTCGGACAGTGCAGGGCATGGTGACCCAGCTCTGCCGTGTGCTGTGGGAGCTCTGGACGTGTTGTTTCAGTTTTGAGGCTGTCTGACCAAGGGCTGGGCACTGATCTCCTCCCTGCAGATCACTCTCACCACCATTGGCTACGGGGACAAGTATCCACAGACCTGGAATGGGCGGCTGCTGGCGGCGACCTTCACACTCATCGGCGTCTCCTTCTTCGCCCTTCCTGCCGTAAGTGGGGGGAGCTGAGCTCACCTGGGCCTTGTCCCCAGCCCCTGGAGCTGCTGGCACTCTAACACCTACAACATGATGCACTCAGAGGCCTCCTGACTGTGATGTTCTGTGGCTTGTGAATCAAAAAATGAGGGAGAAAAGGGAAAAGCCTGTTTGAATATCCACAGCTTGGGCATCGCCTGCATGAGCAAATGGGATGGGAGCTTTCAATTTGGCTCTGCACAAATATTTATGGAAAAAATAAATATAATACTTTTTCCTCCAGAAGGCTGTTCCTTGGGGTAATTAATGGCTTTAAGATGAAAGAGAGTAGATTTAGATTGGATATTAATAACAAATCAGTCCCTGTGAGAGTAGTGAGGCCTGGCACGGGCTGTCCAGAGAAGCTGTGACTGCCCCATCCCTGGAGGTGTTCAAGGCCAGGGGCTTGGAGCAGCCTGGGATACTGCAAGGTGTCCCTGCCCATGGCAGAGGGTTGGAATGAGATGAGCTTTAAGGTCCCTTACAACCCAATGCAATCTGTTATTCTGCAATTACACCATTTCAGCAAATTCCCCCTGTCCCTCTGGCAGTGCATTTCAGTGTGTTGCAGGATCTGGATTCCTATGGGGATAATCTGCTGAATGCCATCACGCCGGGGTTCTTTTGTATTTTATCAGTTGGCTGGAGGTAGTTTGGGAAAATTTGCAATTCCAGTGAGTGCCAGAAAAGTCTGCTGCCCCTTGGATAGTGTCTGCCACGGCTGCTGGGATGGAGGCTCCTTCCTTCCTCTATGTTTGAATCAGAAAATGAGCCAGGAAAAAAACCTTTGGAGTTTTATAAAGCTGGCCACAGATTTTAAGAGGAAGGTTAACTAAACCCATCCTAGCAACAAATCGCTGTTCTCTTCCCCAGGGCATCTTGGGTTCGGGATTTGCTTTGAAGGTGCAAGAGCAGCATCGACAAAAACACTTTGAGAAGAGGCGAAACCCAGCAGCGGGCCTGATCCAGGTGAGGGTCACATCCAAGGAACCTTGTGGTTACATCATCCTGGTTTTGGGGAGCTTCATAGACTTTTGGAAGATGGGGAGGAGACAAATGGTGCCATGTGTGTAAGATGTGAGACAGCAGCTGGTGACTGGTTTTGTCTGGGAATAAATGCCAGGAAATCAACCATGGGAAAACAGCATATGTGGTGGGGAATCTAGAAAGAAAAGGGATGGAATTCAGCAAGCAGCCAGCTCAGCAAGACAAATACATTGGGACAATCTGTTTTCACCCTTTTTTTTCTCCCCAAAGAGAATATTTATCCTGATATAAAGGTACAGTTGGGAGCATTTTCTTCATGAGAGCAGATGTCCTTGCAGAAGGCTGGCCTTGCTGTACATCTTGGAGAATTTAAATGAGTCATTTTACATTTCCCTGCTCCTCTCTCTCCACATTTTTCACTTCTTAATGGGCGACAGCACCCATCCTGACCTCAGCCTGGCAGTGAATGGTCAGGAGGATCATGGTACCACCCCAAGTTTGTCACCTACCAAATCAAGAAGGCAGAATGCTGGATCCATCCCATAGGACTTGGTGTTGGTTGAGGTTTATAAACCCAGGGGTGGTTCTGGCTGTGCCTGGGTGCACAATCTCACTGGGTTTTCTCCTGCACAGGCGGCTTGGAGATTTTATGCCACCAATCTGTCCCGGACAGACCTGCACTCCACCTGGCAGTACTACGAACGCACCGTCACCGTCCCCATGTACAGGTACCTCCTCCTCCAGCTTCCTCCTCCACTGCCTTCCTCGTAATGCCACTGTCTCCATAGTTACCTGGATATATAATTTTGCTTATTTATTTATTTTTTTTTGGTTGAAAAAGTTGATTTTGAGCTCCTAAGAGCTGGTATATGCTTTTCTTTTGGAGTTTTGTTTGTTTTTTTTTTGCTTTGTATTTTTTCATTGTTTTTCTTTTTGACTTGATTTTAATTTCTCTGTTGCTTTGTGTTTTTTGTTGTTTTTTTTTTTTCTGCCCATGTCTTTCTGTGTGTACATGCTCTTCTTTTCACCTTTATTTCTCCACGCCTGCTGGTAGTTGCATTGTGTTGTGACAGTTGCCATGCCCAGGTGTGAAGACCTCCCTCCAAGCTGCCCTGGATCATAGGTAAACACCACCCTCACCCTACCTGCAGCTCCTCGTGCCCTCTCAGGCTCTCCTTGCTGGTCCAACAGGTCTCTAATGGTCCTTCTGCCTTTCAGCAAACTTCTCTCCCACCCCTGACCAGCCTGGCACTCTCCCAGGTGCATTTTCCCTGGGTCCTCCTTTCCTTTCTTTTCCTTTTTTGTCTCTAAGAGGAGGAAAACTAACTCGGGATTCAGGGAGCGTTTTCCCATTTCTTGTATCTCACTTATCCATCCCAGGGTGTTGACACAAGCAGGGAATGACGTTGGAACCATGATGGATGAGGCTGCTGAACACCAGAGTGTTTTAGCAGCAGCCACCTGCCTTGCCCTGCCTGAAGTAAAACCAGGCAGGTTTTTAAGGTGAAACCACATAGGTTAGGGCAGTACTGTGGAAATTAACAGCCTTCTGGGCTGTGGAGCTTCATGGAGTTGGGGACAGAGTCCTCTGACATGCCTCCAAGCCCTTCAGGACATGGGGAAGCACTGCATCCTTCATGTCTCCCTTTGGCTTTGTGGCTTCCTTAGAAGCTAAAATGCACAACGTTCTATTCATTTTCACCCCACACCTCATCCCTGCATCCTGGGCAGAGCCAGGCACCCCTTCCTGGTGGATTTTTAGAGGTGATCCATGACTCTCTGGGTCTGTAGAATGGTTGGATATGTTTGCTGGATATTCCTGTAGCACCACGTGGTTTTGTTGGGTGTGATGGGGCTCCCTGTGCCCCATCTCCCCGCTCCCATGCAGGGCTGTGCCCAGCACTGGGCTGTGCCACTGCAGGAATAATCCCTTCCTGTTTTCCATATTACTGGTGCCTTCGAGCCCTCAGGCAGACAGCCTGGATGTATTTCCTGGGGTAAGCTTTAGCCTGTATTTCAAACACAGCAGCCAGCCTCTTAACCCATCATAAAAACCTGTTGGAAGTCCCATTGTTGTGGTCAGTAAGTTCTCATTGGATTCATTCTCAGTGTGTGTCTGATTGGTTGCTTTTCCCCTAGAAATTTAGGAACCAACTTGAAGGTTTTGTCTAAAAAAACAAAACAACAACAGCAACCCAACAGAACAGAACAAAGCTGTTTTCCAATAGCATTAAACTCACCCATTGAAACTCTCTCTCCCAGTACCTGACCTTCTGGCTGTAACTTTGCAGCACTGCCTGGGATCAGCTACTGGAGAGGATGAGGACAGAGCTTGGCCCAAAATCCACTGCAAAATGCAGGCACTCAGGGCTTGTTTTCAGTGGACTTTGGCAGATTTTACTGCTCTTTGAAATACTGAACTTACCATGCAGCCAGACATGCAGTGACTCCCTTTTGATTACCTGTTACACAACCTCCTTGTTAAAACCTGTATTTCCACAGAGCTAATATGCAGGAAGAAATCTGAGCTAAAGATCTCCAGAAAAGGCTAAATAGAAACTCTGGAGAGGAGAAAGAGAAGAAAAAAAAAAAAATTGTTTGGAGAGCCTGCTTATCTTGAGTAAAATTTATAGCAGGGTTGTAGCAGTTTTGCTGGCTGCTGCTGCGGGTGCTGCTCTGCCCCACACAGAAGTGTCACTCTGGACTTCCTTAGAAATGGATTCTCTGGTCTCTCAGCTTCTCCCTTAAATCCCAGCTCCTGTTTATGCTCAGATCAAGTGAACATCACCCTGGCGAGTGAGCCGTGGGTGCACCAATGGATTCAGCCCTCAGTTAAATTGTTTGCTTTTTTTACCAAAAAAGCAGTGAACCCCTTCTGACTGTATTTTGAATGCTGTCAAATAAATTAGGTGGATTATTTATTTTTTTTTTAAAAAAAGGGAGTAACTGTATGTTCTGGCTGCAGCTTGCATCACTCACACTGACCATCTCTCCTTGCCTCCCCACTTTCCCAAGCCAGCTAGCAGGCACTGGCAGCCCTGTGCTGCTGCTGGTGCTGCTGCAGCTGTAGCAGCACGTCAAGCCCAGCAGCCCCTTAAGGCCAAGGCTGCAGTGCACAGCGTGGTTTGGAGGTGGGCTAGAGGAACACAAGATCCCCCTCTCTGGTGCCCGGGGATGATCTGCAGTCACCACTCGGCATCCTTTCTGCTCAACACTGAGCTGCTTATTCCTCACAGCAGGAGCCTGTGCCTTTAGCTCATCTCTCTTCCCAAGGCATCTCTGGAAAGGCTTGGCTGCTTGATATGATAAAAATTGTTACACCTGCCTTGGAGGAGCTCACATGGCTCCAGAGCATCACTCCAAGCAGTGCAGTAGAGCTACTCTGATTTGTTTCAGGGAAAACATGGTGGCCTCTGAGAGAATCCCAGATTTCATCTTTAAATCCAAAATGTGGCAGAACCAAATTCGAAAATATTCACAAGGCCTCTGTGTGTGCAGGTGTGGTTGGAGTTGTAATGCACGAGTTGGTTTGGTGCACCCAGACATCATAAATAACCTGTTCTGCATCAGCCACTGCATTTATTAGAAAAAAATCTGCTCTTATTGTCACTCATGAGAGCAGGGCCTTGATCTGAACTGCTGTTATATATTGGTTTTCACAAAAAAAGCCAAACCCATGGACACATCCTGCCCATTCAGCAGCCCAGCCCCGGGAGTTCCTGGCTGGTGGGGCCGAGGGCTGTGGATGTCCCATGGAGGGACTCTGGGAGGCCCCCACACTTTCCCTGCCCCGTGGTGCCCATTTGCTCTCGGAGCAAGGTGCCAGCTGCCTGTCCCCAAGGGTGACACGGGCGTGCCGTGGCTCCTGAGCCAGCCACAGCGGGAGCCAGCTCAGTCCATGCTCCTGTGCTCACCTCTGAGCCTGGCCACAGCATCTGCTCCTGGGGACACACTTCGTTCATATGCTAATTTTCTTTATTCTGTTTCTTTCCCCCTCTCCTCCACCCCAACTTCCCCCCCTCCCTGTTTTTCTTTCTCTTACCCCTTTGGTTTTCTTTGGTGAAAACACTTGAAAAGCACGCAAACGCAAACGTATGGTGCCTCCAGGTATGAAGTGCATGTGACTCTGAAAGTGTGTGTCATGTCACTCCTTGTTCTTCATTTGGGACTGTAACATGCAAAGCCTTGAATTAAAAAAAAAAACAAACAACAAAACAAACAAACAAAAAAACCAGAAACCTTTGAAGATGAGTTTTTTTCCAAGGAATGAGTGAAAGCCCAAAGCAGACGCGCCCTCCTGCTGCTACAGATTAACCCCCTGCACCCCCATGTACATTTTAGCTATTGGTACACACAAGTGTTGGGAAACTGCCAAAATGATGATGTAAGGAAGGAGAATGGGAGCGTGCTTGATAAGCTTGCTTTGTTAAGGATGATTTCTTGATGGTCTTTCCAACCTCCCCCCACCCCCAATCCATGCAACGCTTAACAAGAAAACATCCCCATTCATCTTCCATTTCCCTCTGCCCTCACTCCTGTGTGTTCCCTCTCTCCAGCCCTCTTTTCCCATCCTTCATTGTGCCATTTATCTGGCTCTGAGCTGCAGGAGTTGTGCCCACCTGGTAATGCTGGCTTTGAGTTTGCTGGTGGGGTGGCACCACAGGGCACATCAGTGGTAGCACAAAATAAAAACTCCAGAGCAGCTGTGCCTGCTTTTGAGGGGAAAACCTGGAGAAGAGAAAGATCTGTGAGGCTAAACTGATACGATCATTCATTTATTTGAGTAATCCAATTTGATTTTTTGGTGAAAGAATGCTTCATCTCAGCAGGACTTTTCCATTTCAGTTTTTAGTTCCAAGACCCACCTAGAGCTAAGCAGTTATTAGGCACAGTTATTCAATCTTGGACTTAACCTTTTGGGATCAATCCAAATGCAAAGTCCTGGATATGGCTGTGTAAGATTTATGATAAATAGTATTATCTCAGGTTCTGCAGAAAGGAATAGATGTGCAAATCACAGGTGTATTTTATATGAGATGGGTATCTGAAGGTGTATTCAAGTTAATATTTTAAGATGGGGAATAAATGACTTGCATTTCAAGACTGCAAGCCAAGCTCTGTTCTTAGAGCAGTTTAAATCCTCACTAGATGCAGTAATTCCACTAGAGCTGATGTGATTTAATGTCTGATTTCGAAACCCGGTTCCAGTTTTCACAGATGCAAGTTTTACAGCCTTAGTAAATCACACTTACTGCTCTGTGTGCTTAATTTATAGCAAATTGCATCAATGAACTGCAAGTATAATATTAAGAATATATTTTCCTCTTGTGCTAAACAACAGCCTGTTTTGAGAATTAAGACATTTTTCTACTACTGGGAGAGGAATAAGAATGTGCCACTTCCGTTCCATTTGTTGTAATGAAGTATTTTATAAGCTTCATAAATGTTCTCAGTCATGAAAAATAGCTTCAGCTGGAGACATAAAGTCATGGTTAGGGAGAAAATTGGCTGCCCATAGGAACTCCAGCACTGCATGGAGGCTCATTTAGGTTCTCATTCCATTCCAGCACCCATCTCCCTGTCACCGTCTCCTTAATTGTTCATCCTGGGACTGTTCAAAAAAATCATCGTGGCGTCCGTGTGCGTGTCGTGGTGTGTCCCTGTAGCTCCCACCGTGCCGTGTGCTGCTGCCCTCCTCGTGTTGTGGGGTTCTGGTGGTGTCCTGGCCCGAGGCATGACCTCCCTCCTGTCCCCTAATGCTTGAACAGTTATCTGTGCTCCCAGGAACAGCGGATCCGCCTTTCCCTGCGGATGTGGGAGCCGGCGCCCGGAGTTAGCGTGGCCTTTCTCTGTGCTGTACTGGGAGGGGTGGTGGAGGCAGCTGGGGGGACCTGCAGCAGCTCAGAAGCGTTGCTGTGGTGGGTGGCATGAGCTGTGTGTGTCCCGTGGTGTGCAGATTCCTCAGCCAGCTCCCCCTTAACCGGAACGCGCTTCCCTTGCTAACCAGTGACACACGGACCAGGAGGAGAGAGAGAAAACGTGAGGAGCCCCAGACACAGGTTCCTCCTGCACCTGGCATGGTGGCACCTGCGTCCCCTGTGCCCTGGGCACACACCAGGGCAGGGGGCTGTGCATCCAGCATTCCACAGCAAAGCTCAGTTCAAGAGCTGTGCGCAGTTCTGCCTTTTTTGGTTTTTAAGGGTTTGGAGAAATGGTGTGGTGCAGTAGCTGTTCCCCAAGCTGCTCTTGCAGTGACAGGTTAGGCTGAGCATTTAGCTGAGATTAAATTTCAGGTCCTGAAATATGTGTAAGTTTTCACCCATTTTCAATAATAATTATTTCAGTAAGATACTGGTGATTTCCACCTCATGCAGCAGGCCCATGAACCAACCACAGAAATGGTGAATTTCTGTGTTTGTTGTGTGTCTGTGCTTCCTCATGGAAGCATCTGTGGTGGCCCAAGAGGTGGCCACATTCAGCACGCTGCAGACCATGGGCTGATGCAAAAGAAATAGTTCATTTTGGAATCCTGAATCCTCCAGTCTTTTGAGCTAATGAACTCCTCATCTAAGACATGCACCAGTGAGAGCCCAGGATTTGCAATCCCAGCTGGAGAGAGTGGGGCAATTTTCCTGTGCTCTGCTGGGTATGGACCTCCCTGAGGAGTTAATTTACCAAAGAAGAGTTGAGCACCCTTCATTACCTGCTGAGTACACCCTGTGCTGGATTTTATGCACCACCTCTCCCAGCCTGGGATGCATCTCCAAACCCTACGGTGTGTTTGAAGGGAGGTGACAGCCCAGCACTCATGCACAGCTCCACTGCATCAAGGTCAGCTTCTTCCTGGTGTCTGGAATGAAGAGGATCATTAATTCAGCAGATCAGGATGTGCTTTTCTCTGGATGGAAGCGACTGGGGAGCCGAGCCAAAATTTTTCAGGCCTATTTTTATTCTTTCTCCATACTTAGAATTGGAAAATTTTCTGATTGCCTCAATCTTGTGAACACAAAATCTCTGCTAAACCACTGTGGTTTTGAGGATAAGTTTTTTGCTTGCAGAGAAGAGGCTTTTCCAGTTGAGTTGGTTTTATTTTTTAGTTAAAGTGTGAAACTGTTGGTCTCATCATGGCTGAAGAAATGTGGGCATGAATATCTCTCCCTTTATTTTCTTAGAAGCCTCATTTCTTACAGTCTCCACCTGACACCTCCAGCCTATCTTTCTCTTGGTTGAAAACCTGGCTGGGAATATCAATATTAAATATTGATGGAACAAGCCCTGGACTTCCAGGGTCTCAAGGAAGAACCCAAAAATGGATGTGGAGATAATTTCATGGCTTTGAAGTACAAAAGCAGGCCACAGGATTTTTGTTCACTGGGCTTTTAATTCTTACCAGAATTCCTGTTGTCAGATTTTTATATTTTTTTTTTATTTTTTTTTATATTTTTTTTTTAAATGAGAAGGGAAGGAAGCCCTGTGGTTTTCTGGAAGGCACTGACACAAGATTTTGTCTCATTTTGGGACAAAACCTGACATGGAGAATAGAGAATTGATTAAACTTGACCCTGGAGCACACTGCTCTTTCTCCTGGGATGCTCCCATCCCCAGGTCCTTATTTTCTCTGCCCCATCCCATGCCCTCCCACATCCTCAAGAGCAGCAGGGTTGAGTTTTCATATTTTCCCCCAAAGCTGGAGTTTCTCTCCATTTAGCAATGCCAACCTGCCAGACTACAGCTCTGCCAAAACACCACCGGGCTGCCCAGGAACCCTGGCAGCTGCTTGGTTTTGGGGAGGTTCAAAATCCAGTGGTGCAGACAAGTTTCTCTCTCTCTCTTGCTGTCACTTTCTCTCTCTTACCCCACTGCTCTGCCTTAGGACACTGTTGGAAGTAGCAGCCAACCCCTCTCCATCCCTCCTGAGCTGTTCCCCAGCTGCAGTTGGTGGCACAAAGCTGGCTCTGGTTGAAAGGATGGGGCAGCAGGGGAAGTTGCCGAGACAGGAGGCTCTGCAATCAGCTCTGTCTGGATATTAATGCTCTTTGTTTTGTCCCTCTAGACTCATCCCTCCTCTGAACCAGCTGGAGCTCCTGAGGAACCTGAAGAGCAAGTCAGGACTGACATTCAGGTTAGCAGCAGAGTTAAGAGAGTTTGGAACTCACACAATTTGCAATTTTTTCTTTTTTTTCTTTTTTTTCTTTTTTTCCTTTTTCCCCTCCTGCACATGGACATCCTTGAAGATGAAAGAGGTTTGACAGCTGGTCCCACATGGGTCACTCAGTGACCTTCTCCCTGCCCCTCTCCTGTGCTCTATATGAATTCCTTCAGCCTAACTTGGCTCTGGAGCAATGTCACGGTGCTTGACTGACAACTCAAAGTCATATTCCCAAAGGGGCTGATGGAGGTAATGATCCCAGTTTTCCTCTGACCTTTCTGCTCCTCCCCACACTCAGAGAACACTCAGGCCTGTGATGTGTTAATTCATTCTCTGTTCCCTCCAGTGACAGCAGGCAAGGTTGCAGCAGTGAGACATTTTTGCTGAATTGGTTGTGGCAAGGTTTACATGAATCCCCTGCACCTTCAGCCTCTGCTTGGGAGGGGTAATTCTTGGGGTTTTTGAGCAGTCAAGGCTGCCCTGTTGGTGAATGGGGAGTGTGCAGACCCTGGGAGGGATGGAGAGGGGCCAGTGGGCATCGGGGCCAGCTGGGAGGTGTGCGATGGGGCCTGCCCTGAGCTGTGTGCCTCCATAAAGAATACACCCCTGGGTCAGCCTGAACATTTTAAAATGTGAGTATTTGAGCTAGTGACTGAGGCTGGGCTTCCAAGCTTTTCTGAGCAAGAAGCAGAGTGCGGGGAAAGAGATTTTTACTAGTCTCTCCATTAGCTGAGGGCTCTGTGCAGGTCTCAGTGGTCGCTGCTGAGCAGTGGCAGGGCCAGGGCTGGTGCAGCATCACACTCAGAGGGCACCTGTGCTGAGAAACACGGTCTGCTCCCTCTCTGGGGGGCTGCAGGGGCAGGGCTGGTGGAGGCCCCAGCTAAACACCATTCCCCAGTGGAGTTGTGAATCGGAGCAGCTGAAGGCAGAGCAGGTTATCCTCATTGCTGGAGGGAAATACCACCCCAATGCCTGGTCAGTGAAGGTGAGGGGTGTTTTTCAGTGTGGCCTTAGCATGGCTTGCAGTGTCCTGGCTGCCCTTTTGAAGGCATCCAGCTCACTTTGTCCCCAGTGATTTTTTGGGGCAATGCAGTTTCAGATCTCAATACGAAACTGCAAACACAGATTGTGGTGCCTTTGCCAGCTGCTTTGGTAAAGTAGCTGCCAAAGGCTCTGGAGGCATAAACCCCACCTGGGGTGCCAGGATGCCAGGGCAGGGGTCCATGCTCCTTCCCACCCATGTCCAACCCCAGCACCTGGCATTAATCCGTGCATTCGGAGATCTGACGTGAGCTCTGTCCCAGTGGCCAGGGAGGAAAAGCGAATGCACCAAGGTCATGGGAGCCATTCAAACCCTTCCCCATGTGCAGAAACATGAGGGCAGTGCATTTCCAAAGGAAGGGGGCCGCTCTCTGAGCCCACAGAAGTCCTCCTGTGCTCACACAAATCACACAACCCTCAGGTGTCTCAGTGGTGCCTAGGCACAAGGATGGGTTGGGGTGAAACCTTCAGCCCTGTGCGTTGTGTGTGTCTTCTCTGAGGTTGTGTGAGTCTCCAGTGATCTTCTGTCCGGGCCAGAAACTTCAGGAATTAAGCACTCCTTTCCCTTCCTTCTGTCCACAACTTCCACTTAGTTGTATTGTTTGGTATTGTCGTTTCGTTATGTTTTAACAGTGAAGCAGCAACATCTTTTGCCACCTGACACCATGCTAATGTACTATTGCTTCTGTTTAAAGGAAAGAGCAGCAGCCAGAACCATCGCCAAGGTCTGTATCACTGCCAACACGCCATCCCCATGCATTCCCTGTAGATTTCTGTGTGTGTGCGTGTGTGTACCATGTCGTGGCACCATCGAGGGAAGCATTCCTAGGTATTACCGTGCTTTTCCTGTGCTGTGCAGTCCGATGTATCTACGTGTGTGCTGGACCTTAAATCATATCTCCCTTCCAGCCTGCCTCGGGCTGGAGCAGCAGGCTAGCGAGGCTGGGGGGGTTCAGAGAGCGGTGGCAGCACAGGCAGAGCTGGCAGGCACTCACGGGGGTGACTGCAGGGCTTTGGTTCACGCTTCTTTGTTTTATTTCGTTGCTGGGGTCGTAGCTGAGTAACTCGGTGTCACACCCAGGGGCAGGTGGCGCTTTGCCCGTGTCTCTGTCACCCTGTGACTGTCTGTGCTGGACAGAGGCGACACGGGGAGCACGAAGCCATCGCCACCTCACCGCGTTAACAACTTCTCCTGAGCTCCTCTGGCTGCAGGGCACGGCGTGGACCGGCTGCTCCGTGGGACACAGGAGGGCTCTCTGGCACGGCACGAGGTGGCATGGCAGAGACACCCTCTGTGCACCCCGTTCCCTGGGGAGGAAGCACCTTCCCTGCTCCATCTTCCCTCCACGCCTCGAGCCCACGGTGCAGAGCGTGCTCTGGATCGTGGCGAGCACCTTCCAAGGGCAGCCGTAAATCTCACTTGTGGTAGAGCTTTTCTCTGTTCACAACTCCCAGGGAAAGCAGCAGGGCTGGTGCTTGGGATACTTTTAGGACACTCTTCATCCACTAAGAAGTATTTAATTCTGGGATTTTTTTGTCCTATATTTTCTAGTTCTTTTTAAAAAAATAATTCTGGAACTGAATCACTTTTTTTTCTTGGCTGATGAGACACAAACTCACTGATGATCAGTGGAGATCATCTGCTCAGCTTTCAGATCTCCCATCTCATTCCTCAAAACACAACTTACAGCCTGAATTTTGTAAACAATGCATACGTTTTTCAGAAGTACAGCTAGAGCCTGGCATTCTGCAGATGTACCTCTCTGCCATGCCTCTTAGCTTATAAGAGGCCAGAAAGTAATTTTTCCTTGGCATAAAAGCCAACCAAAGATATCTGGCTAGATACACTGCTGAAGAAAGGGTGGAAAATTTCATCTTTCCTTCCTTCTCCCTCTCCCCCCCAACCCCTTTCTTTTCCCCTGTCATTCATTTGAGCTTTTCTTTGCAAGCAGAACCTTTGTAGCACTCCATCTACTTTCCTGCCAAATAACCTAAATCTCCAAGATCATGTTTCAACTATCCAGATTTCTTTTTATTTCTTTTATTTTTTATTTTTTTGCCTAAGGTCTTAAATGTAGCTGGAGTGAAGTCAGCCTCCATCCAGCATTATTAGAGCAGGGAGCATTACTTGGGAACAGCTCTCTGGGAGCAGACCAAGGCTGAAATCTTGTTCACCTGCCTGTGGCATCAGGAGGGTCAGAATTTCATCCCAGGGTCTGGCTGCTCTGCTGTCCTGCCTCATTCAGTGATAAACTTTGGTTGCATCAAAGGGTAAATCCACATTTCTTACAGTGCAATGAGAAGAAATCCCTGTTCAGCCCCATCAGCTCCATAACCAAGGAAATTTGGCATCTGACAGACCCTTATAGGGTTACACCACACATCAACCCTGCAATCTGCTAAGACTAAATAGTCTTATTTCTGATTTTTGAATCTCAATCCTGTCTTACAGGGTTCATATTTATTTTCTTGAAACCTGAAGTTGTGTACAATATTTCTTCATAGAGGTTGCAGGTTTTCCCCTGATCACTTTCTATTTTCTCAACCTTATGTCACAGAAAGAAGTAAAAATAGTCCTTCCCTGTCCTTTTTCAGAGTATTTTTCACTATATATAGATCCTTCATCAGAGTAATTTCCAAGTGCTGTTTCCTGCTCCTGTGGTGCACCTGTCTCTTGTGACACCGATGGGTTTTCTTGCTAAACCCCAGCCCAAGGAGGGCTTAGCTGAGGGTCTGCAGCTGCTGTGCAGAGCTTTGGAGTTTATTTCATATCATTCAGTTCTGCTGCCATGGCAGCACCAAAGCTCCTTCCTTCTTCCTTGTGTGTTAGGACAATAACAAGTCTACCTGTTCCCACTGTCATTTTCCTTCTATCTGATAATATCCCCAGACCTCAGGAAGGAATTTTGTGTTCAGAGGAGCCCAAATTGCCTGTTTTCCCCAATAAAATTTTCTGTGTCTTTTACATTCACATCCCAAATCTTCCACCCACTCGAATTTCCAGCAGCTTCCCAGTGATGCTCAGTGTGTCATCCTGCCCTTAGAAAAGAGAACTCATCCTGTTTCTCTGCCCACCTGACAGTTAATCACCCACTTGCTGGTGATGCTTCACTCAGGAAGCTCCTGGGGATGAATGGTCTCTCTCAGCAGACCCCAGCTCCACACTTGCAGTGCTTCAGCTGGGAAAGGATTTTCCACTTTGCATTTCCATCGCTGTAAGGAAACAGTCTTACACCTGGAGGCAGCTGGATCTTCCTCCTGTTTTAGTAATGTGTAGGGAGTGGCTGATTTCCTATCTCCTTCTCTCTGTAACCTATACACCACAAACCCCCTGCAGCAAATGGAACAGAAAGAGCTTTTCCACAATTTTTCACCTTATTTTATTTCAATTTAGAGAAGGCATGCTGGCATGGCACGTGGGATTATGCTGTGCAGGATAAAGTGTCTTGTGAGGTCAGGGAGCATCCCAAGCATTCTGCCAGTGCGCAGGGTGGCTGTTGGGGTCCTGCCCTCTGACCCCAGTGCTGATCTCTGCCCACACAGCACTGGGAGAGCTGCTGCCCGGGCTGGGAGGACGTGAGGAGGTGATGGAGTCAGTGTGGCAGAGGCACAAGGCCACCTGGAATTTCTCTTGTGTGGTTCTCTTGGTTCTCTTTTGATTTAGTCTTGGTGTAAAATGGGACAGCTGATCTGAGGGACAGGTTACGTTCTTTCTCTATGGTTTCTGCTTTGTTTTTCCACCATGAGCTTGTCTGCATCCACATCCAAGTGCTGGGAACGCTCTGTGCTGATTTACCTGGAGGCCAGGAGCCCACCTCTCCCAGAGGTGGAGCTTAGGCTGCGATGAGCAGAAGAGATGCTGGCCTTTTTCTACACGCTATGTACCCCTTCTCCCCTTTTTATTCTCCTCCCTTTAAAAAACAAATGCTTTTCAGAGCCTCCTGGTGCCCATCATTTGGGTGTTGTGTCCACCCTGCCCCTGCCCCTCCCCAGGCTGGCTGGGCTGCCCTGGGACCCATCCCACCTCCAGGACAACACTGCTGCCACGCAGGCTCCAAATGCAAATCCACTCTCCCTCATAGCCCAGGAAAGGGGGCCTGCTCTCTGCTAGGGCTTTTCTCATCCCTCCTGCTGCAGGAAGCCAGTAGATCAGAGTGGTAATGGGGGGTGGTTACTCTTCTGTTTATCAGGCTGAAAATTAGCTGTGGCATCTCATTTCTGTTTGTTTTGCTTTGATTGTAATGTCAAAAAGACAGCACATGGCTCGCCAGGGCTATGGAGGCTCCTGTATGAAATGTGGGCTTCAGATGCTCTTTAACAGATGGCTTGAGAAACATCTGAAGGCATCCACAACCACATTTCTTCCTCTTGCATTTTCCAAAGTACAATTGGGTGAAAAGCTAAAAACTAATGAACCAAACGAACATAATAACAGATTAATATCAGAGAAAAAGAAACAGAAGGATTCCAGGGAAGTGGGAAGCTAAAACTCAGATTACTTTGTCCAGCATGAGTTCAGCGCTGTAGGTAATGAGAGGAACCTCTTTGGAAGGTTGTTCTCAGCTGTGGCTTGTCCTTGACCCCAGTGAGCTCAGCAGGACCTTGGCCGTGCACTGGGTGAATGCTGGGCTGGGTCCCTTGTACCGTGTGTGTATATCTGTGTGTTAATCTCTCAGTGTGTGTATATGTCTGTCTGAGATACACACAACCCCAAGATCTCTCTTCAGGGGTGTGATTAAGGCTTCTGTACGCACTGGAGGATGCCTTTGGTTGACTCAGTGGGCCCCTGCTCATCCAGCCAAGGATGTCCGAGGTGTCCCGAACCTCTGCTGCCCGTCAATCCAGGCTCAATCATAGAAACCCCATGGGCCACATGAGCCTGGGCTGCTGTTTGGCCTTCTAACCAATTTAACTGTTGTCAGAGACTCATGCTGGGACTGACAGTAATCTGGAAATAATCAGTTGCCTTTAGGGGAGCGGATTATTTGCACGGAAGGAACTGCATCTTTCTGGAGGGACTGCAGAGGAGACTGAGAGGAGAGAAACCCACGCATCTCCCTGAGGCTCTGCATGCTCAATATCCCACTCCCACGCCAGCTCCAGGACAGCCCTGGTAGCACCACCAGCCCCTGGGGCTACCTGGGGATGCAGGGTCCCGTTGTGGACACCTGAGGAGTCCCCAGGATGCCGAGGGTGGTGTCGGCTGAGCTTGCATGGGATGCTGTGCCCGTGAGCTCCTCTGATTACCCAACTCAAGTGTAAAATAAGAGTGGGATTTGATGCCCTTCAGCCTTTCCAGTCTGCCCATGAATCTGGCAAGAGCTGCGTGCTGGTGGTTGGTGGCCTGGTGGGGTGATGGGGCCACGTCATTCCCCTTCCACAGGTAGAGGGCTGCTCCATGGCGTGGAGGACCCTGGTCCTGGTGGGGATCTCCTGGCAGGGCAGTGCCTGAGCAGCCGTTTGGGATGGAGCTGTGGTGGTGCCTCCTCAAAGTGAGCAACTCCCCAGAAGTGGTAGGGCCTGTCTGAAAATCTTTACAAAATCCAGATGTGTGAACACAGATGTTCAACTCCCTTCCCATAAAGGGACTGCACCACACCCTGTTTTTATCTATTTTTGTTTTTTTTTAATGCCAGGCTTAATATAATGGTATTTCCCATATGAAAAGTGCAAATAATTCACATATTAACTAACTCTCTTTGTGAGTGTTTTTGTTTGGTTTTTTGGGAAAAAAAATAATTTTGAGCTTTTTGGATAGTATTTGACAAAATAAGTTACAGCTTTCGCTTTCCATGGTCTACACAATTTGAAAAAACCTGGTTTTTTATATATTTAGAAGAAGAACAGAGAATTTTTTTTGTTTCTAAATCATATGAAAAATCTTCTTGCAGTTAATTGTAGATAAACTGACGCCACCAACTCAATGAGCAGAATGCCTCATGTCTAATAATTAAATTTACTGACCACAGTGAAACAAATTTCAGAAACCCTCTTGATTTTTGATTGACTTTTTTTTTTTTTCCTCACTGAACACTCAAGCAGAACAATCCTGTCATGAACCCGGCCCTCAAAACACCTGTCTTTTAAACCTAGAGTCAGTAATCAAAAGTTTCCTGTCTGGCATTTGCTTCCAGGTCTAATTTTTACTCTCCCCTCATTTCCAGTAAGAGCAAACCGTGCAGAGAGTCACTATGCGGATGCTGCTCAGGAAACTCTAGGTACCACGGGAAATGCGTCGCACGAAACTAATCAAAAGCTGCACGGCTCATTCTCCCTCTACCCTGCTACCACCCGTTCTGATCACTTCTCTGCTTAATAGAGGTACTAGATGAGTAAAAAAAGAGGTGGAAGAGCCTCCCCAGTGCCCGCCCCGAAATTAGAGCCTTCCCTGGCTGCCAGTTGTGCAGAGCACACGAAGCAAAGGGATGAGGATGGGGAATTTGGGCTGGGCCAAGCCAAAGCCAGTGTTTGCTCAGCAAGGGAGGAGGCCAGGAAATGAAGTTTAACAAATAATGGAAAACTTTAAAAAAAAAAAAAGAAAAAAAAAGAGAAAGAAAAATGAAAAATTTTAATTTTTTTAAAAAGACCTTGTCCTCCCTTTCACTCCATCTCTCCTCAATGTCCAGGGAATCCTTGCAAATTGACTTGCACTGTACAGCAATGTCCAGTTAGTAGCATGAGAAATACCAGCTTCCTGCCTCTGCTCAGTCACCATTCCTTTGGCTCTCTGACCATGACAAATTGACCTTTCCTAGCCTGGTGGCCTTTGGAAGCCACAGCTTGCCTATCTAGCACCTCTACTACGCAGCTAGAGAAGGACTAATCTCAGCCTGTCCCACCAGACGTAGGGGACACGGGCTCCCCTGAGCGTTGACATTGGCCTTGTGAATGGTTCTGTTTCTAGACCCTGAGGGGGACAGACAGCTTTAGCTCAGGGCTTTGTACCAGCAGGGTTTGCATCTTTTTCATCCAGCTGACAACTGCTAGGTGTTTTCAGGGACTTCCCAAGGAGCATCCCTTAGTGCACCCATGGCCATATACACAGACACATAGATCTTATCTTGTGCCTAAATTCTTCCACACCTGCACTGGAAGAGTCTCTGCCCCCACCCCTGCTCCTCAGCAGCAAACATGCACCTTCTTGATCTCCCACTGCCCAGAGTTTGCATGCTGTGAATGCTGGCAGGGGACCCCCCGAGCTCCTCGCCCCGCAGCCAGGCAGGTGGACAGCCCAGGAGTGGCAGGGCACTGAGTGATGCCGCATGTTTGTGAACTCGGATTTTTGTGCATGCTCTTTTTTGGAGTCCGTTTTAATTCTCAAAATCACCAGTCTCTGTATCCCTCAGAAAGCCAACAAACTACAGCTTTGAAAGTATAAAACTGCAGCTCTAACAGTATATGTATCTCTGATTTTCTTCATTAATTGTTTCAACCTGTATCTTTTCTTTTCTTGCTATTTTTTGACCTGCTGGCTCTTTTTATTCTCTGTCAGTCTAGAGGGTAGACTCACATGCCTGAGGTATCCCATCTCTGAATGGGTAACAAAGAGGAATGGTGCATGATCTAGGGTTCATGAAAAGCAGTTTCTCCACAGTAGGAAATCCTTTACATCTGGATAAATAGCCTGAACCTCTGAGTCAGCCTCCTGCTACATATTTGGTGGTGCTGTGGCCTTCCTTGAAGGTTAGCCTTGAAAATTGTGGGTAAATATTGGGTGATCATCAGTTGCACAGGCAGCATTTCAAGACAAATGGCAAAGATTTGGTCAATAGTCTAGCTGGAAAAAATGATCCTGACTTCTGTGGTGTTCCCATTTGCCAGGTGAGGCTGTTTTATGTGTGGAGGTGTAGTGTGAGCAGGGACTCCTCCCCAGAGAAAGCCTCCTCTCAGTTGCTTAACACTGAGGTTGTTTTTGGCAGAGATGAAAATGAGCAGTGCTATTCGTAATCTGTCCTCTCATCTGTTCATGTCTGGTTCTGTTTTCTGGAAAATCAGCCACTCTGATCTCAGTGTCTTCCTTGCATGTCTTCCTAGGCATGGATTTTTAATTGCTAAAGCCAGTGTAATTTTTTTCTGTTTTCTACTGAATTCTGTCCCACTGTCGTCCTCATTTCATCTCCCCTGTCTTGAGTTCTGCAAGGGAAAGGGAGGATGAAACAAAGTGTTACTTCAATATCTTCTTAATCTATTGGAGAGTCTGAAAAGGAGGGTAGCAGACTGTTTTTCTTCCAGTCAAAAAGGACCCTTGAACCTTTGGGGTTCAACAAGAGCATCTTTGTAACCTGCATCTATCCTGAATGTAGTGTTATGCACCCTGTGCTTTAGCAAAACCGTGGGTTAACTGTGAAGGGATGTAAAAATAATTCAGATGTCTTGTTTCTCTGGACCCTTGGGTGTCTGCCAACAATCCCCACTGCACAAACTCTTGGGGCAGATGCCAGCACTTTGATGCAGCTCAGGCTGAGTGCTAAAAGCCTTCATCTAGGATGCACATAACGAAATAACAGCACACCATGAGGCAATCATGGAAAACTCAATGTAGGTAAATTAATAGGAAACTCCTCAGAAGCTGTGGTTTCTTAATGTACTAAACCAGTGATCTTTAGTCAATAAATGCAATATCACATTCATTTTTAGACAGTAATGTAACTACACCAAGCCAGATTATCAGCTCCATTGTATTCTGCTTGTAAGAGACTTTCCCGGCACACTCAGAGGTGAGGGCACCTCACAGTGGGATGGGGGCACCAGGGCAGTGAAGGAAAGGTATTTGCAGAGCCCTTGAGTGGCCTGTGGCTCTGGGTTTGAGAGGCTGGTTTGGGAATGATCAGCCAGCTCAGAGGTGCAACCCTTTGCTCTGCTCCCGAAATGCAAAGAGCTGGGAGAAGATGCAGGATGCGGCTGATGTGGTGTCTGACAGCACTCAACATCAGTCTGGGAGGAGAGGGCTGGGAATTAGGATGAGATGGGTGATTGTAACAGGATGCTGCAGGACAGCAAAGGTTACAGACATGAGTCTGGCTCTGGTGTCCCTTCACTCATCCGAGGCCCTGTGCTTTCCCGTGCCTGTGTGGTGGCTGCAGGGATGGTGCAACTCCAGTCTTTGCCATCACAGCCTCGGTGGCTCCCAGCCAAGTCTAGCACCGTGGTTGTGGATGAGGAAAAGGAGAGGGATTACTCACCATGACACAATCACTGGCTGATGTTTTGTTTCCCTTACGCCCAGGTTTCTCTGCTTCTAGAAACTGCTTTCTCTAAGCTGAATTCACCTTTTAGCAATGTTTTTTCTGGAATTGCTGGAGGCAAACCAGGCTTGAGCTGGGCCCTCTCTTGGTTTCTGTTTTAGTCACACCAAATTTTGCATACACTGTTTTATTTTCCTTTCTTCATGTCCCCAGTAATTGGTTTCGGCCTCTTACCCACACCAGCAAGCAGACTGGAGCCCAGTGATAATCACAAAGGCCATCATTCACTCCTGGCACTCCTGCCTGGTTTTAATGAGTTGTTCTCATATGCCACAAGCTCAGCACAAATTCTTGATTTTAGAAAAGCCCCCTCAATTACTGACAGGAGACAACCTTTTTCTCCTGGCCACAGCTTCTCAGAAGAATGAGCACTGATACTGGTTGAGTTTGGATGCAGAAATGGATCTGAGTCTGTGCTAATCCAACTCACCCTGGCTAGCTGAGAAGAAAATGAAGTAATGGCTCAAGTATAGTTTAAAATCAATGAGAAGACCTTACAACTGATACTTTCTATTGATCTAAAATTACTGCTAATGTAATGAGTCCACATTTTTTTTTAAAGTGCTGATTTAATACTATAGAGAACTGGAATGAACCCCAAACCAGAGCATTTCAAACAGGAGCTTAAACCCCTGGCATCCTAAGGAGGCTGATGGCAGCTCATTTTGAAGGTCAGTACTTGTGCATTTCTCTGCTGAGTGCTGGGCAGCTGGACTTAAACAAAATGCAAAGCCCACTAAAGCCATGAACATCATCCAGTTTCTCCAGCATGGACTCTCATTTTTTGACTGGCAACAGAGAAAAATTAGCTCATTTTCTATGTTAAATTCAAGTCAAAACCTGATTTTTTATAAAACTTTCCCACAGTCAGCCTGGAAAGGTAATTTTTGCTGTCAAATCTGCGTTCATAGGTGCCACTTGGAGTGGTTATGAGGACCTAGAATTAAACCACACCCTGTAAGGCTGTTGTGGCTTCCCCCAATCTCTGCCTCTGGTTGCAAAGCCACAGTTCCCTTTCCCTTCCTTCCCCTGGCACGAGCAGAGCTCCTGCCCTGTGCTCGTGCCACTGTCACGACTGTGAGCGTCCATCTGTCCCTGCTGTCCTTGCCTTCATGTCACCAACACTCCCCACTCAACTGAGGCTCATTTACCATCCTGGAGTGACATCCAAACACCTCTCTGAGACACTCTGCGTCCTTCTGCATGACTTTCTGGTTGAGTGAGAACATGATCTTGGATTAGCTGACAACATATATTCCTATGTATGTCTGTATTCCTTTGGGATTTCTTTTCCTACCAGCTCCTGCAGACCCCAACAGCATCCTCCTCTGCAGGGATTGTACTTGCATGTGATTCCAGGTGTCATTTCTAATGAGGGAATTGCATGGCAGAAGAAAAATTCAATTGTCCATGGTGTCTCATGTCGTCTGTGTTAAAACAAGGAACTTACATCAAGTGTTGGGTTTTTTTCCTCAGTGAACACTTGGGAACAAAACCCACAGATCCCAATTGTTCATCAGATTTCTATGAGATTTTTTAATGTGTTTCTCCTCATGCTCTCAGGCTTGAAACTCTTTGCTCGTATCCCTCACCAAGTGCAACCCTTCCTTTTTTGCTTTTTGTGATTCCTGCAAACATTTGTAGCACATTTGTTGTGGGAATGGAAAAGAGGCTCCAAGGAAAAGACCCTGCCACACTCAGTGGAAGGCAACTGGTTTTATGCTGGGATTGGTGATGGGAGAAACTCAGCAGAGGACAGGGCACAAAGAGATCACTTTGAATCCTGAATATTGCTGTGTTGCTAAAGCAGTTTTATTGAACTTACTTTTTAAAGAGGTAATTCAAAGTAACAGTACTACTGAAACACAGTGGATTCAAGAAATGTTACTCTGTCAAATCAACAAAAATAAAGAAAAAATATCCAGTTGGCCTATTTAGAATCAAATGATGAAATTTCAATCTGGTTTCTAATCCAAGAAACTCAGAGTGAGAATTTCATTTAAACCTTTGGCTCATTATGTACAATGGTTTTGTTAGCATTAGTAATGAAGGCTTACTTCCAAAAAGGTGTTTAGGCATGTGGTTGTTCCCAGATACCTGTGTGGATTTGTACCTCTGACCTGGATTTCAGCTCTGCTGGTCCCATGTCTTTCAGACAGCCCCTGCAGGCGGGCACCACACTGGAAATTCAATCCCCAGCACTTACCTGAATTAAAATTCATCTTTAATTGGAATAGTTCTGCCTTTTTTAGTTTGGTCATGAGCAAATTTTATTTTCTCTCCAATCCATCTTTCAGTGTGAAATTGCTGCTGAGCTTGTGGCCACAGCCAACCCTTCCCTGCAGCCCAGGGGATGCCCTCCCCACACTACTCTGTAAAACGCTGCCTAAGCACCTTTCTCTCCCTGTAAATGTTTGTTGTCTCGCAATGTAAAGTGACTTTGTAAAAATAGCACCTTCTTACTCGACAAATCTGCTCCCTGAGCGTCCTCGAGTCACATCTTCTTCCTTCGCTGGCTGGAGCTGTTGTCTGCTCCTGTCAGCAGGGAACAGCCGGCGGCTGGGAAAAGGGAGCAGCGTTTTGCTTTGCTTCAAAACCAGCAGCCAAGTTCTGATTGAAGAACCTCGTGCCAGTTTTGAAGGCAAAGAAGGGCCGTGTGGCTCTGACTTTTAAGTTGGTGCTGCTGAAAGACACGCCGAAAAAAAAAAAAGCAAAAAAAAAAAAGCAGGTCTTTGGTTGGTGATGTGGAAATTAAAATTTCTGAAATGTTCTTCCCGCAAATTGCGGCAGAGAGTTGGCAGCAGAATGAATGATAAGTGGCTGCTGCAATGGTACAGAGTGTTGGGAATTAAATCCCTGTCTTCACTCAGTTTTGATATATCTATATATAAAATATTGGCTATTTGTGCAAGTATCTTGCATTGGTTGTCCAACCTCTAATCACTGGAGTTTAATCATCGATTGCTATTAAGAAAATATGAAATGGTCCAAAACTATTTGCAGTCTGCTTTCCCCAATGCTGTCTCTATAAAGTTTGTGGTTTCATAAAGATTCACAAAATCTCAAATTTTCACATGAAAATTCAGCATCTTAATTTGGGTGAAAGGCTTTAAATGCAAATTGCAAAATTTGGAAACTAATTAGAGTTGGGTGGTCACTATTTCCCAGTGAGATCATTTCTGTTTCTGGAGAGACCTTATTTTCCAACCATAATTGCAAGGAGTCCAGTAGGAAAAAAGGCATTAAAGTGCCATATTCTGGAGTTTTAAAATTTTACTTTCCATGTTTATGACACCCATAGCAGACTTCCAGGGAGATGGCAGATAGCTTTGAGATGGGATTTTTATAGGATACAAAGGAGTTGCACAGTGTTTGTATTTATGTGTTTCAGTATGTAACTAGATAAAGAGAACCTCTTTGGAATATACAAAGAGGACAGATCATGCTTGAAGAGGGAGGAAATACAGGAGCTGAAGAAAGGGAAAGGACAGATCTGAGCACCAGAAGTGAAGTATTTGAACAGAAGTTTTAAGATGTTGGTTTGGGGTTTTTTTAATTGGTATTTTCTTATTAGCCATAGTGTTTTGGAAGGCAGTTGTGAAAGAAAAGCTTCCTAACTCGTGATCGGAGTCGATCAGTGATTTAAGGAATCATAACCTCATTGTTAATGTCATTCTGTCCCGCCAGCCCTGGCATCCCATGAGGGGCTTCTGTTTAAGTCCTCATTATTTTCTCTCTCTTATGAACCATTCCCATTTCACTCATGATGACGGAAACATTTCTACAATGCTTTCTTTGAAACAAAAATAAAAAATATATATTGGAAAGAGAAAAAAAAAAAAAAAAGAAAAGCCAACAGCAAAGCTACATGTTACTGCTGCTTGGAAGTGCTCTTGGTTTCTAATGGCTGGTGGGGAAGGACTGCGTGGTTTCCAGAATGACTCCTCCTGCTGTCTCCTTTTTGTCTTTGTTTCAACGTGTTTCTCTGAACAGTCAGAAGGTCAGTTTGAAAGATCGTGTCTTCTCCAGTCCCCGCGGTGCTGGCACCAAAGGGAAAGGCTCTCCACAGGCTCAGGGCATCAGGAGGTCCCCCAGCGCTGACCAGAGCATCGAGGACAGCCCGAGCAAAGTGCCCAAGAGCTGGAGCTTCGGAGACCGCAGCCGAGCCCGGCAAGCCTTCCGCATCAAGGGAGCGGCGTCGCGGCAGAACTCGGAAGGTGAGGGCTTGGGGTGTCCTGCTGGGCCCCAAATTCCCAGCTGGACCTAACATCCTCTCCCTCCCCACCTAAGAAGGGCAGAGCTGCAAGTCAAGGTGTTGGGACTCCTTCCCCTCCCAGTCTTTTAGCCTGATCAAGTTGAAGATGTCCCTGCCCATTGCAGAGGTTGGGCTAGAGACCCTTTAAAAGGTCCCTTCCAACCCAAACTTGTCAATAATGATTGGAAGAAGCAAGAAAATCCCTTCTGATAACTGTGATAATGTTTATATTTCTGTATATCAGGATGAGGAAAGGAGGAACAGTCAGGCATTGAGACAAGAGGAAAATACCTCAAGGTGTGCTAGGGAAAGTTAAGTTGGATAATAGGAAAAATTTCTTCACTGAGAGGGTGTTCAAGCCCTGGAACAGGCTGCACAGGGCAGTGGTGGTGTCACCTTCTTGGAGGGATTTAAAACACATCTTGGTTGGACTCAATGATCTTAGAGGGCTTTTCTGACCCAAATGACATTGGGATTCACTGATACAGGGATGGGTAAGAGCTGCAATTGGCACTGCTGAATGTCACCTAAGCACATCCTGGGAAGTGCTCTCATCTGGATGCTCAGCAAAGGCTCCTCCACTGCTTCCCCTGGGATTGCTGTTTGTGATCTGCCTCATCTTCCCTTGTGCAGCACTGGCACAGGAAACAGTAACGTGTTGTGTTTCTCCTTCCCTGTCCCAAACCCAGAAGCAAGCCTCCCTGGAGAAGACATTCCTGATGAGAACAAAAGCTGCAACTGCGAGTTTGTGACAGAAGATTTGACACCAGGGCTGAAAGTCAGCATCAGGGCAGTGTGGTAAGAAAGGGAGAGGGGGGAGTCAGCCCAGAAGAATAAATTATAGAGAAAAATGAGAAGTGTAAAGCCCAAGAAGTGCTGGCAAATGCTGACATGTGTGTGCTGCAGGCTGTTTTTCCCCTGGGTGGCCTGCCCTGCTTTACAGACAATTTTGCCAGGAAGGGCAATTTTTTGCTTAGGGAAGGAATAAATGGAGAAACAGGAAAATCCCCTGCAGGGATGCATCCAAATGACGGTTCTCACCAGCTCTGAGATTTAATGCTGACATTTATAAAACTGGTGCAGACAGCACATGCACAGATGACAGTCCAAGGGGCATCAGGGACCCCCTGGCGCAGACAGGGCTTCAGCCACCAGCCCCCGCAATCCCCTTCCTCTCTCCCATTGCTGCATCCTCTCCCAAACCCACAGGGTTGGGATTTATTCCATTTTCCTTCCAAAACAGCTCCCTGCAGTGTTTTTTTATCTGCCATTAAGCAGGTCAGGCTGCACCCAGGGACTGTGTTATGATTTTGCTCTCTGTCTCCTGCAGCATTATGAGGTTTCTCGTCTCCAAGCGCAAGTTTAAGGAGAGCCTTCGTCCCTACGACGTGATGGACGTCATCGAGCAGTACTCAGCTGGGCACCTGGACATGCTCTCCCGGATTAAAAACCTTCAGGCCAGGCAAGAGACCCCTCTCTTTGCTTCATTTTCCACTGCTTTTTGTTCACTGTGGAGGTATTGCCAGGAGAGAGACACTTTCCTTTGCAGCTACAGCTTATTCTTTTCCTTTTTAAGATAAATCCCCAAGGAGGACATCAGTGCTTATGGCTGGTACACACAGGGATAAGCAGGACAGGGACTGCCCTAAAACTCTCTTTTCAGGACATACAAGAATCATGGCTCATCCTCCTGCTGTATTTTGGGAGCTTTTGGCATGATGGTATATCCCATAGCAAACACAGATAGGTCTCCATGGTCTTCCTGGCAGGGTACAAAGGTTTGGTGCCCCAATGTTAAGGCTCATGTGGGTCATTTGGTGCCTTTCTGGGAGTGAAATATGAGAAAATTTGGTGTCCTGGCTGTGGCCCTGCTGCCACAGAGCAGTGAGGAGGCAGCAGCTCCCTTTCCCTGTTGGGATGCTGAGCCCCTTGAGGAGGAATCCCTCCTTGAGTGGCACAGTCTGCTGAGAATTCGTGCAGATGGGAATTTCTCATCCAAGCCCACCAGCGTAGGTGGGGTTTAGAAGAGCTGCATTTCAGCTTCTGTGCTGGGATTTTAGGGCAAGATGTGTTCATTTTAAGAGGAGAAGGAATGTGGAAAAGGGACAAGTGGAACTGAGAAGGTTCCATGTTTTTCGTGTTTCTCCTGGAAGAAAAAAAAAACCCAAACACATAAGTTTGATTCCTTGAACAGAGGGTCAGAGTTTAATCTCCCTCAGCCCTGATGGGAAATGTAGACCCCAAGCCTCCAACACCCCTGGTTGTGTTGGCTCAGCAGAAGTAGCTCCAGTTCTGCAGAGCTTGAAGGACACCCAGAACTGTGGCAGGGCTTGGCCATGGGCAATCTCCAGTCAAAAAAATTCACCATTTGCTTTTACACTTGGAGGATGAAATTGCTTCCCTTGATGGCTGTGGCAGCCCAGCTTCCCCTAGAAGCCATTGAGGAAGTTTTCCATTAATTTCAGACCCATCTAAGTCCCTGTGCCTTTTCTAACTGTCAGAGTTAGAAAATGTGAAGAAATAAGAAATGGTTTTGTATGCAAACAGCTGACACAAACCTCAGGAATTAAGTAGGAAAGTTGTACTGGGAAAAAGAGGAATCTCTGTTCTGCCATGAATCTCTCGGAGACCATTTTAACTCTGCTATTTTTGATGTTCAAGTCAGAGGTAACTTTCTCAGCCCTGCTGCACACTGTGCTTTTCCCAGAAGGAACATTCTCCCTTGCAATGGAGACTAAAATATCCTGGAGAATTTCCTCTGTGTGAGCCTCTCACTCCTGTTCAGTTCAAATTCAGTGATCATAGATCCAAGATGCGTAGCTGAATATAGAGGGTGAAGAGGAGAGGGAGGGGATTGAGATTTCCTAACTTTGGTAACCTGAAACAAGAGGCCTTGAGGCCACCTCTTCAGTGGGCACTGGGCATCAGGGTTATCATCTCCACTGGCTCCAGGTGGGATTCCTGAGTCTCCAGCATCCTGAGGGCTGTGCCAGATTGCCTCACCACCCATCCAGGACTCCCAGGCCTTCAGGGCCATGCTACAAAGACAAAGCATTTTGGTTGTCTGCATTTTTAGGGAGGTTGGGGTACGGAATTGCAGCTTTCCAAGACCAGACTGGATTCTCCTCTTAGCTCTAGCTCTGGGACTGTGAGGATGAGGGTCTGGGGCTGTCATCCTCTCACAGGGAAGCCAGGAGGACCAGGAGCTGCTTCAAAAGCATGAAGCACCTAGATTTGGGATCCAAGACTACCAGGCAGCTTCACAGGTTTCATTGTCCCCAGTGAGCAGGAGATCAGTGATGGTGATGGGAGCAGACCCCTTTGAGGCCATCCTTTGGGCACCAGCAGGTCCCGTGGCTGGGCACCTGCCCAGGACAACTGGAAGGGCCCCCTGTAGACAAAGCCAGGGCCAATGTTGGACCCTGCACCCTATGGGCACCCCAGGGAGGAAGTCACCTTGGAGAACAGATATTTTAATGTCCCTTTCCTTCATCAGTCAAAGCCCCATGTTCTGCCTGCCAGCTCAGCTCGGCAGGGCTGGCTCTCCCCTCCCCTAGCCAGGGCTTTGGTGCATTAAAGCTGCATCCAAGCACATTTCTGGGGTGTTTACATGCACTTTCCTCTTTAATCAGTAAAGCCTCTGTCACTGTGTCTGCAATGTGCTCTTTTCAGTGTTGTGTTCACATTGTCTCGTGTTCCATCCTGACACCTTGCCAACCATGGATGTCTCCCATTCATTGAGTTATCCAGTCCTGCAGCGTTCCTCGCCGACTCCCAGCAGCTCATGCTTCCCTGAACTAGCTGAGGATGTGTTCTCTAGCACTGGAACTGAAAGGAGGATGAATATATGTTGTTTCATACCCAGCCACCTCAATGGGATATTGCCACACATATGCAAATATATTCCAGAGGGTAAAGCATGGTGCCTGTTATATCTGGGGTGGGGGGAACTCCTAATGATGTTGCAGTGGTGCCTAAATCTCCAAATCTTACCCTGAGGTGGGTAAGACTGGTTTTTCACCAACAACCAGGTGGTAGGAGAGAGCCTTCTGTTTCCAGAGGAATATATTTTCAAATTCTCTCTTTCTCTCTCTCTCTCCCTGTCGTTCTGTTTTTCAGTTGTTTCTTTCTGCGACTTTTCTCTGACCAACTTTTCTCTATGTGTTGCTTCATTATGCATTTTGCTGGTCTCTTTTTTCTTATTTACTTTGCCAGGATAGATATGATTGTGGGTCCCCCACCCCCTTCAACTCCCCGGCATAAGAAGTATCCAACCAAAGGACCCATGTATTCTTCCAAAGAGTCTCCCCAGTACTCGCCTAGGTTAGGATTCACCAAAATGCCGCTTTCTCCGGAATTTTGTTCATTTGCTTAATGTCAAACCCCTTTCATGCCAGTTATATGACGGCATTTCTCACTTAGCAGTGCAGCCTGCTAAATCATGACTCACAAGGGTTTGCTGCTCTGGGTGTGCTCTGACTTGCCTTCAAGCCAGAGGGGAACAAAAAAGGGGATGTTCATTCACTCATCAATAACCATCAGTTCCTTCGGCGAGCCTATTTCCTATTTTCATTCTTCTTTGAGGCGCTAGCAAGCTAAATTATATCTTTTTAAAAGATCTCATACTTTATCAGGCTGTCTTCAAACGTAAAAGGTGGAATATTTACCCACAACACCAATATAAAGTGAACAATCCACTTCCTAAAGGATGACACCGTCCTCACACAAGCAAAGGAGCCTCTGCAGCTCTTTGGACAATGAAATGAGTTTATTTCAGTGGGCAAAGTAAGAATGAAGTGTTTTGTAGCTGGTGAAGGCAGTGGTCTCTGTTTCTTCCTGGTGCCACTCTAGTGACCACAGAGGGAAAAATTGTGTTAAAATACTGAAACCATGGGATTCATATTCTGAAAAATAATAAATCAATCCTGATTTTCCAAGCAAAAGGAGCAGGAGTCAAACCCAGCCCTCAGCCACACAGCGAGATAGTTCTCATTAAGTTCTCTCCCTAAGTAAAACCATATCTGAAGCTCAAGCAGTAAGGAATATATTCTCACAAAAATTCCCATTTTAGGGCATTCAGAGGTCTGGGCAGCAAGGCCATGAGCTGGGCTGTATTTTCTCCTTGCACTGAGACCACTAAAGCGCACAGCAAGTATAAATATTTGCCAGAAAATCATTTTCCATGCAGAAATAATAGGTGATTTTTAAATGCAGTAAGCTTAGCCTCAAATATTTTTTTTTCCTAAATATATTTGCCTCCCTAAGAGCTTATATGTGACAAATCTCTTGATTTTTATTTAAGCTGCTCTGAGTAATCTTCACTCAAGAAATGTAAGTAAAAGGAATATTGAAAGCTTACCTTTTCCCACTCAGCTAACTCAAACATTAAAAAATAGAATTTTCTAGAAGCCCAAAGCTTTATGCTTGAAAAAAGTGCTTTCAGAAAAGTATTTTTCCCATTCCTCCTCCCTGCCAAAAGAAGTCTTTGAAAATGAAATAACCTTGTTATCTGCAGAAACATTTATATTTAAAAACAAAAATACATATTCAACAGGATTTTGTTGTATTTAACCTTTAAGATGATAAGTCCAACAAGCCTTCACTAAAAACAATATTTTTATGTGAAAACTTGTGCCTCATAAACAGCAAAGGTGATTGATGGATCTGAGGGGAGGACACTTGAAACTGGAATATTTATTTTATTTAGTCCAAGACTTTGCTGTATCAGCTTCACACTAATGACTTTCCCCTCACTGTTTATAAAGTTTCTAATACTAGTCAAATAATCTTTGCACATGCCCACAAGGCTCCTGGGATGTTTAGACTTTTTTTTTCATAATTTCTCCCTTTTTCAGTGATTTTTTTAATTTCCCCTGGTATCAAGCTGTGGCTGCAGAAAGCAGCAGGGTACAGAAGGCTGCTGAAATCTCTGTTCCCACCCATGAAAAGGCTTATACTGCACTTAATTTTTGGCAGTTTTATCCTCCCACAGACACCAGTGGCACTTGTGAGGTGCTCAAGGGGCTGATGGATGGGAGCCAGAGCTCTGAGCAGCCCCAAGCCCAGATCCAAAAACCCTGCTGTGATCTTCATCACCCCAACACCACGTGGGTTTGTGCCGTGGGGATGTCCTGTGAGGTCCCCATGGATGGCTCCAGCCCCTCCTTCTCAGCCTGCACCCCCTGTTTGAGCCAAATTCTGCCCAGAGAAGCATCATGGCAGGGATGTCCCATGAGCTGTCTCGACCCTATGGATTGATCAGTTCAGCCAAAATCCTTCTGCACTCAGCTCCCACCAAAGTCAGGGGGATCCTGGTGAATGCTCACAGCTGTGGTTTGGCTGATGGTGTTTGCTCCATGCTCTACACACAGACAATTTGGATAAAATTCCCTTGATCAGCTGATTTAGCCTACAATAGGGGCAATCTCAGCTGTAAGTTTTAGACAACAGTTGTAGATCAAAATTTGTCCAGAGGAAGTTTTATTGCCAAATGAAGGGGTAAGTAGCCAGTCCTGTGACATGGATGAAGGGGGTTTGGCTTCAATGCCTGGATTGTTTACAAAAAATTTATAAGAGATAAAGAAAAAAAAAGAAAATACTTGACTATCAATTCCCAAACACTTCATTTTTATCTCATTTGAGCCGTTTGACCCTTTGATGTCTGCTTCTGGCCCGAGGGTGACATATTACACCTCTTTGCATGCACTGTTAGCATGAAGCATAATGAAGCATGAGAAAACCTGCACTGTGGCTGATGCAAGAATTTACATTTTTTTTGTATCATTAGAAAGAAGGAAAGACAGTAAAGTCCACTTTAAAGACCAATCCCCTCTTCTCTCTCCCTCCCAAACTGAGGCCCAGCAGAGCCGACCAAGGACAGCAGATGGCACAGTTTGTCGTGCATCCTTAGGAATCTCTGAATCCTCTTCTGCCAGGAAAGGAAGAAAAAGGGGCTGCCTCTCCCAGAGCTTCAGCTGAATTCTTCCCTCTGCACATGTGTATTTGGCACAGCAAAAATAAGTATTGGGAAGTCACAAGTCTCCCCATGGGCTGTAGTGTAGAAGTGGGATGGGCACCTCAAAAAATTCTTGGTCCTTCGTCATGCAGTAAGAACATAAATTATCCCCTTCTGCTTGGTAAAGTGAAATATGTTCTTTCTTCTTCATCTTTTGGGCTTTGTTTCCCATTTGGACAAAATCTCAAAATCTTGTGGTGGCTAAAAGGACCTCTTGCTTTTGGTGGTCTTCAGCTAGGTGCAGGTGGGTTGGGAGCTCACAAGGAATTTCCTCTTTTCTCTTGTATCGGACAAGGCATCCAAAAACAAAAGGCAAAACTGACAAGACAAACAAAATCTCTGCGCTTTGCTGAGGGCAGCAGCACTCTCCTGTGGTCCAGCTTGTGCCATGGGAAGCAAAGGGGTGGGAGACCTTGAGACTATAAAGACAGAAGGACTTGGTTCAACCTCTTCTCCCCTCTCTGCACTGAAGCCAGAGGCCCAGAGCTGCCCCCCTGCACCATCCTTGGTGCTGCCTTGCCTCCTAGGAGAGATCTAGCTCTGCTTCCTCAGAGCTGTGGAAGACAAGCACCCCAGGAGTCAGGACTGTGCCCAGGTACAGACACAAAGGGAATGAATCAAGTGGGAATTCTGGGCTCTGCTGTCAACTGTATAATAGGAAAGAGCTTCTGGATGCTTTATGGGCGAGCTCTGTGAAGGGCTTCAGCCCTGCTCCTAAATCCTAGCAGGTCTAAAGGCAAGTTTTGTCCTTGAAGGTGAGCAACAACTTAGTGCTCTTCTTAGTGATCACTCCATCACTCCATCTGTGAAGTGCCAGCTGGCCCCTGAAGCGGGCCATGTGAGGTTCACTCACTGGATAGCTCTTCTCTTCAGGTATGAAAGACAACAGAAGTCCTGCCTTGATTTCTGCAAGGTTAAAATTAGGGCACACAAGACTCTCTCTGTTATTACAATGCTATGTTGGGTTCTCCTCTCTGTGTCACAGCCTGTCCTGCCTCCCTGCTCTACTCCACAGCTGCTGAGGGACATCTCATTCCATTAGTGGACACATTTCAGTGTCAGTGTGGTGCTGGATGGGACAGCAGGACAGAGCACCCTGATTGTTCTTGGCCTTCTGCAATATTAAGTAACATTTAGACTTTGGGCCTCTTTAAACTCGTGTTCATTGTTTTACCAGTCTACTTGCTTGTGCATACAGGAGAGGAGTTCATACAGTGGCTGTACCACGCCTTGACTTGTGATTCCCCACCAAGGTAGCCCGAGGTATCCAATTTAACAGCTCTTTGCTTACATGGTAACGACATTGTCCTAGGATTTCTTGTGCTGTATGTCCTGTCAGTAATTTGCATCCCTCGTGGGAAGTTCCTGTAAATGTCAGTGATTTCCTTCTCCCATTACAAGAGAGAAATAAGGCATGCATATTCCTCACACTTGTAATTCCAGCACTCGGTGCTCCTTGTACTCCTGTGCTTATATTGCTAAGCAAAGGATCAAACATGGCTTTTTAAGCAGAACAGAATTCTGTCACATCCCTGCCCAAATCAAGTAGCTTCTGGGATCAAAGCTAAACTCTGAAACGATTGCTGGCTTATATTTTCTGTCTTTGGTGTGATGTGCTCATCCACTTCATCTCTTTGAGCCAGATCTGGTGCTGTAAAGTGCTGTTGCTCTAATATAAGCTAAGGGAGCCACGCTGGTCCATTCCCACTGGTACCTGTCCCTCAGTGTCAACAGCCAACATCCGTACGAAGTCCCTGTCCAGTGTGAAGAAAACAGATGGCTCTTGTGTTGGAAATAGCCTCACGTCTCATTCCTTTCCTTGGTTTTTGTTTGTTCATTTTCCCCTGTCTGTCTGTGTTCAGCTCCTTCCTTTTCCACCTCCTGGTGCATGGACCCATGGCCCACACTGCAGAACTGCGTAAGAAGCATTTTGAGTTTTCGCTCAAGATACCTCAACTTGGTTTCAGTCAGATTAATTAACCCTTCTTTCCCCCTGCCACCCTTACGTTTGGTGCATTATGCAAGAGTAAAGTTTGCCCAGCACAGAATTAGTCTCTAAACCTGGCTGCCATTAAGAAGTTATTCCAAAAATTAGTTGTTCCCCAGACTTTGGAGGGATCGAGAAGCTCCAGTGTTTACTCTCCAGAAATTTATATTTGATGCCTCTAATGAAATTGAGTTCCAGCTTCCAAACTGGTTCTGTTCTCCTCCTTCCTCTGCATATGGAGCTGTTAATCAACCCAGGTGTTTCCATAGTGGGCATAAGGATGTGCAAATGTGATGTGTGTAAAGAAGTCAGTACCAAATTATGTGCCTGGTAACCTTTCTCAGCCGATTTGGCAGGAGCCTCCTCTGCTGCTCCCAGCTGGGTGCCCTGCTAATAAAAAACATCCAGCAGTACAAGTGAGAACTGCATTGAGATGAAAAGAAGTTTGGCAATGTTTGGTGAGTTCTGGCCAAATTCAGCCTTGATGTAATTCCACTAAAAAAGTTATCACTGCATCTGTTTGTCTGGATCTTAGGACAAGCAGCTCGTTTTCATGGACATGAGAATTACACATGGGCATTTGCACTGAGGAGAGGAAACTGCTGCAAAGACTGAAAAACATCCCATTGATATTTGCTAGACAGAAAACTTGATCTTCCCCCAAAATAATAATTTCTCAGTGCAAATAAGAAGTTAATCGATTTGGAAGAAGGCCAGTAAAAGAAATTCTTTGCAGTGGGTAAATTTACTGTGCATAATGTGCCAGGTTTTATCTGTATAAACAGAAACGGATAATTTCAAACTCTGCTAATACTGCTCTGAATTTTGCATCTGAATTAACACTTCAGTGGCACTGCGTGTCTGTGAGTAATTTGGAGTGTTAGTTGGGGAGAGAGGCTGTTGCTTTGTCCCATGGAGGCACAACAAGCGGTGCCCTCCTCACCTGCTGCCCCCAACTGACTCCAGGTCCTTTTCCGGGGGCGGGGGGATTTTCTGATCCCGGTAGAGTTGACCAGATCGTTGGGAGAGGATCCTCCATGACTGACAAGGATCGGACCAAAGGGCCAGCAGAAGGGGAGCTGCCTGAAGACCCCAGCATGATGGGCAGGCTTGGAAAAGTTGAAAAACAGGTATCTGGGGTCAGGAAGGGGTTCTTTCAGAGGGTGTTGCATGCATTGTGTTGGTTTTTCCTTGCCTTTTTCCCTCAGTAGGACATTACCTTTTAGTTAAAAAAAAGTGAAAGCCCAGAATACTTTGAAAAATTAGCAAGTGGATGTTATAAAAAGGAACTAAAAGCCTTGGAAGCCTAAGTGCTACTTTCAAACCGGGCACTTTGAGTCTACTTCAGTGAGTTTGTCAAAAGCCTGCATTACTTTTTGAAAACAGCACATTGGTTTCTTTTCCACAGTGCTGGACACATTTCAAATGAGTCCCTGAGACTGGCTGCTGGAGCTGCTGGCCTTGCTGAAGATTTAAAATCTTCCTAGAGCTTAAGGCTCAGAAATTCCAATGGCCTTCTGAGCCCAGACAAGCGGAAAGTTCAGGAAGGAGCTAGAAGAAGCAAGTGTGCTTCAGCTTTTCTAGGACCTGGTGCCTGACATAAAGATTAGATAGAGATTAGATAAGGAAAATCCTGTAACAAGGGAAGCCTTGTAAAAAGGTGGAGAATTAAACCCTCCAGAACAGAGCAATTAAATATTCGCTACAAGTTTGAGATGCTGTGGGTCAGTGTATGTGGAGGTGATCTACAAAGCCCAGCCCCACACTTGGGAATGGAAGTTGCTCTTAATCAGGATGTTAACGTGCTTCAGCCTGCATGAATTGCTGGAACTGTGGTGCTTTTGCAGGTTCAGTCCATGGAGAAGAAGCTGGACTTCCTGGTGAACATTTACATGCAGCGGATGGGCATCCCACCAACGGAGACGGAGGCTTACTTTGGGTCCAAAGAACCAGACCCAGCCCCTCCCTACCACAGCCCCGAAGACAGCAGGGAGCACATCGACAAGAACGGCTGCATCATCAAGATCATCAGGTCCACCAGCTCCATGGGTCAGAAGAACTTCTCTGCTCCACCAGCCCCAAGCAACGCGTGCCCGCCCTCCACGTCGTGCCAGCGGCAGAGCCACGGCTCCTCTCCCATCGGAGACCCCGGCTCGCTGGTCCGGATCCCACCTCCGCCCTCCCACGAGCGCTCCCTGTCCGCCTACAGCGGCGGGCACCGGGCGAGCGCCGAGTACCTGAGGAACGAAGACATTACAACCAAACACCACGAGAGTGCCATGAGAGACAGCGACACGTCCATCTCCATCCCCTCGGTGGACCACGAGGAACTGGAGCGCTCTTTCAGCGGCTTTAGCATCTCTCAGTCCAAAGAGAATTTGGACATCCTTAACAACGGTTGCTATGCAGCCGTAGCCAAAATCAGACCCTACATTGCAGAAGGGGAGTCAGACACCGACTCTGACCTCTGCACACCCTGTGGTCCCCCCCCGAGGTCAGCCACGGGCGAGGGACCCTTCAGTGACATGGGCTGGTCAGCCCCCCGGCAGTGAAGCCTCCCTGCAGCCGCCGAGCCACGTCCAAGCGCTGGCAGCTGCCCGCTCCAGCTGTCCACGTGCCGAACTTCTCCAGGAGACCGACAGCTAAGGCTTTCCTCTTTCTAGGGCACCCTTAGCTGGCAGATACTTTCTTGCAGCTTACTCTGGGGGGGAATGAGCAGGTCCAAGCCTGCATTTTTGGAAGAGGTCACGGTGATGAGCGAACTGGAGCCGTGAAGTCCAGATTTCTTTCATACTCTCTTTCTAAGATCATTAGGTGAAATTTCCATGGCGCAGAGTAAGCAATTTGCATTTCTTGGGAATCTTCAGAAGCGCAGGGCAGGAATAAATCACCCAGCCAGGGCTTTTGTTGATCACATTAACTGGTGGCTGACAAGTGTTAGGTGGGAATTGCTATGTCATGGCAGAAGCTGATCACACTTTTAGGTGTTTTGGAGTCACAGACAGAATACATGTCTGTTTCTGGCCTGGGTTTCAGGGCACGTGCAATAATGAGGGATTGTTACTCTGTGGTTCCTCATCAGCTGTGAGGAAGGTGACATAATTCCAATATAATACATGGAAATGTTGTGTGGGCCCCTGGAGGAGAGGGATGGTGGCTGGGATATTTGCATGAGAAGAAGACATGGCCTTAAGTGGGACTTGCTGGGGTACTGCTCAGAACCAGAGAATTTGGAAATTATCCCATCTTAGGAAAAACTCAGAAATATGAGCTTGAGTGCAAGAAGAGGGACAATCCAGAGAAATGAGACAGAGAAGGAGGACGAGAAACTAAGGGGATGGAATTTTATATTTTAAACCATGTATTGTATTTAATTATCTCTCCTTCTGCTGACAAGGGACCTGGGGGTGCTTTGAAAGCAAAGAGAAACCAAAGGCATCCCCTCTGGAGGGCTGCCATGATCCCAAGCCATTCTCATGGCCAGCAGTGCTGTTGGGGAGGCACAGCCACCAGTCAAAGGGAGAGGGTGGACGTGCAGGATGCTGTGGTCCCTGCCTTGCTGCGAGTTAAGTGCTGAGTTCCATCCTCTGGAAGCCCTGTTGGTCAGAGTGGGCACTTTTCTTACAGTTTGCATTGTGCCTGAACACTTTTGCACATACTATGCCCGTGAAAATCTTTCCTTCCTTCTTCTGCCCTGCCAAGAATCTCACCCCCACGTTCTCGGGACATCCTTTGGTTTGTTTGGATCCCTCAAGCTGAGTCAAGAGGCCCTGCTTTTTTTCTTCATGGTCTCTCAGAAGCCTCTTGCCCGTGCTTGCCCGCGAGTTGTGCCAATCCCCGTCTGCCCCGTTCCGTTGTTGTGGAAGCACTTCCTCTTGGAAAGGTCATTGTGTCATTGCCAGGAACCTCAGCAGCTCCTTCAGCTGGGGGAAAGCGAGGGGAAAAGTGATGCTCAAAGTTTCTTTTGGGACCAAAACAAAGCCACAAAGTGATCCTTTACGTGGATAAGTTGTTAGGGGTTTTATTTGCAAGGGGGTGGATCAGGAGAGGTTTGGTTTGGGATCTGTTTCCAGGGCTGGGACACCAGGGCTGGCATTGTGCCTCTGAACCTTGCTGTGCATCCACAGCCCAAATCCCACATGTGTTTTCTGCTGTGATTTCAAACCCCCATCTGTCCACATTTTCCCTGTGTCATATCAAGAGCCTGTTAAGGATATTTAGGTGACAACTTCATTTCTGTGTGGCCTTTGAGAGGCTGAACATTGATTTGCTTGGGGTGAAGGGAGACTCACAGCCTTTTCCTCTCCTCCTGTTTGCTTGACCAGACACAGCAACCAGGGGAGACCCAGGATAATTTTGGCCTTAGGGAAGATGTGAGTGCAGTCTGACAACTTGCAGACAGGAAATAAAACCATTCTTTTGCTAATGCCCAGGTTCAGCACACAGGTCTTATCATGGAGTGAGGAAGAGGGAAGTATCTTCACAATTTTCCCTGCCATTTTTCAGCATTCAGGAGGGGAAAACCTTGTTATTAGGGAGAAACTGGGCTTCTAGCCACGCTAGTTCTTTTCTTTCCCCTCTTGAGCCTTGTTTTTGTTAACTTCTGCAGTTTTCCCCTCTCTCTTTGTGCTCCAGATCTCCTTCTGGCTCCAGATTTCTTTGTGCAGAATTAACGCAGTGATGCCCTTGACTTCCACACAGAGACAAGTTTAAATGCCTAATGGTTGTAAATCATGCAGATTTGCCTCTGGTGTGCTCCAAAATGAGATCCTTTCTGCTAGAACTAGTGTCAGCAGGTCCTAAATCAAATGTGGTGGCCTGGGCTTTCTACCAACCACAAGAATGGAAATGATACTTGGTGAGGCAAAAATCAACATTGCTCCAGCCAGTTGCTCACTCCAAATTTTGTCCAAGTCAGAGATAACAAAGATTTATTCTCTTATTTGTTTGCAATTACTTTTCAAGGCCTGCTGGAAATTTGGCACCAAGGGTATGATACAGAGGCAGGAATGCCAGATGAGGATGAGGATAAGGATGATGTCATGCACTCCTATTCCAGCACAGGTACATGCCTGGTCTTTAGTAACAGAACCACAGAATCATCAATTCACAGAACCACAGAATGGTTTGGGTGGAAAAGGACCTTAAAGCTGATTTTCAGGTGTTGCATAGGAAAAATTGAGTTTTTCCTCTTCAATTTCCTGCACTGGAATCTATAAATATATTTTGACTTGCATATTGAAAAGATTTGTCCCATAATCAGTGATTGCAGAAAACTGGTTTTATATACATTTCTCATGGAATTCACATAGAATTCAGATATAATTTTTTTTGAAGGTATGAGATATATTTTTCTGTGGTGTCATACCAAAGAATTTCTGACACACCCCCATGCACAACCATACCATAACTCATCATTTCTCATTCATCCAGGCAAAACCTCATGGATTTTGGGGTTAACTTACACTAGAATTAGCTTCAAATAATGCTCATCACTTCCATGAAATTATTTAAGCCTGCATAAACAATGACAGGTCCTGCTTGTTGCTTATTGACATAAATAATTCCATTATTTTCCTAAATCATAGTCCAATACTCTCTGAAAAGCCTTCCCTTCTGATGGCTCAGCTCCCCCATGTCTGTACCACACATTCCTGGTGGCAATCTCCCACAAGAAGTCTTAACCACCAGACTACAAGAGAATAAATTGGTTTTGGGTTGCTGATAAGGCAGTCCTGATAACGAAGACTTTTAAAAGGGTGGACAGGCAAACTTTGTCCCTCTGCTGAGCCTCTCTTGGGCTACTCTTTGCTCCCCTCTTCCTCCCAGATCTTATTCCATATTTTTTGGAGGATAGAAACAAGTTCTAGGCAATGCTAAGTGTGGACAGAGGAGTCCAGTGAGAGAGCTGAAGATGTGAAAGCCAAATTTCCAGCAGACCATCTTGAACTGCTCCAGGGCTGCCCATGCCCACACTCGGCTCCGTGCCCAGAGCCTGGTTCCAGGAGTGTCTGTGCTGTCCTTCAGGTCCGAGTTCAGGTGGTCTGAGGAGTTCTCTGTACGGGGGATGTGGCTGGAGATGTTGCAAGGTGGCCTTTCATAATGTGACCCCAAGACAGAAAAACAGCCATAAGTCAAATTTCCCAATATTTGGGAAGGGACTTTAATGTTACTCAAGTGCAGATTTTGTATGTGAATTTCCTTGTTGACCCGTTTTCTTAATAACAATTTTTAAAGCAAAAAAGGTCAAGGAGCTTACCAAAACCAAACCTCTCATTCAGCTCAGAAAGCCATTCTATTTCTTTAGACAGACTATGTGATAGATCAGATTTTCTAAAAATGCATTTTGTTTCAAATGCTGCTGAATAGGTCCAAATGAATTTTGCAAGGTCACTGCTATTTACGGATAAATAGGTATATTTTTACATTTTTAATTGATTTTTAAAACTTTAAATTATGTGAATTTTTAGAAAAAGTTTGTATAATCTACCTGAGAAGCCAGAGCATCACCTCAGATACAAATGCTCCCCTTCTAGATAATTGCCCAAGAGAAAAGAAAAACACCTTCACTCATACTTTTCCCAAGAGGGATCTACTGGAAACCTCATTTTCCTGATATCTTCAGACCAATGTGGTCACAGCAGTGTTATTGCTAAGACTAAAATGTAAGTATTAAAAGAAACTGAAATTCCTAAGGAATTTACCCAAAGTTGTGCCACGCAAAGACCCTTAGCAGTGAGTATTTTATTGGGCATGTCAAAAAGCCCAGGAGCAGGGTGAGGATTTCTGTTTCTCCATCATGTGAATGCTCAGGCTGAGCGAGCCCTGAGCCTCCAACCCTTTCTTCCCAACACAGCTGCACATCCACATCCTCTCCATCCTCTCTCCATCAAGGGTCAGCCTCTTCTGTTCTCATCAGCTTCCTTTTCCTGAGCCAGAAACAAGGAAATCAGATACAAAAGCTCCTTCAGCTGCAGGTAGCATTGAGGAGAAGGCTGTGGGGAGGGCTGAGGGCAGCAGCCCCTCCGAGCCCCACGGGGTCACTGCTGCTCAGAGGTGTAAAAGCAAACCCTTGCTTTTAGCACACAAACACCCCAACTCTTCTGCCTCACAGAGCAAAACCTGCTCAGAGCAGGGGTGGGGGTTCACTGGTTTTTTTAACAATAACAACAGGGTGGGTTTTTAATAATAAGGATAATAATACTGCATAGGAATCTTCTTTAGTATATCTTAGTGTTTGATGCCCCAGTGACACAATACTGCTTGCCTTACCTTAGTGTCTAGAGGGAGAGGGATCACACACCTTTTGATACACTATTACTCACGCTTTGAATTTAGGTAGCAGCGGGGTCCTTTTTAACTTATGAATGTGCTTTCTGGACTATCTCACTGACTGTACTCTCAATTTTGCCTGCTACTGCATGCAGCCTGAGATGAGTAGACAGCAATATGCTCCAGCTGTATCTGCACTCCCAGATTGCTGTAGTACCTGACAAGGTAACATTGCCAAAAGCATCACTCTGGGGAGAGGCTGTCCTCCCAGTGAGCCACCTCGCAGGGTGCTGCGGTGCTTCTGTAGGTTACACTGATATACCAAGTGTCTTTCATGCTGCAACAATGGTCATCACCCATCCCTCTGATACAGCATGCACAGACTCCATTTCTACTGCTTGTGACTACGGGGTAAAAAAACCTGTTTGTACCTGTGGTTCCTTCAAACGTGTAAATGGGGAGGAAAACATATGAATTGTGTTGGCTGTGTGTCACAACCTCCTTTCCATCAGGATGCCTCTGAAAAAAAGCATCCCAGATAGCCCTTCTGTGGGTTTGGAGGAGCAGGCTGTGCCAAGGATGGAGGCCTGGTCTTCATTTCAAAGATGCCATTTGAACCCACAAGTGTGGGACCTGCCATATGTCTGGTTTAATTCCCACAGGATTCCCTCACCTGCATCCAGCCCTGGGGTGCCAGGTGCTTTTGTGCCTGCAGCACAGCCCGAGGCACAGGGGAGAGTGTGACTTCCAAACCTTGGAAACCACTCTTTGGAAATTCCACCCACCCTTCTCTACAGCCTTGGGGGTCTCGGGCACCCTGCAGCTGTGCCATAACCATTCCTCAAGGAAGCATCTCTCACTCTCCTTATGAAGTGGCATTTTCATCTCCATAAATATTTTGCCAGTGTTCTCCCCACTGCAATACCAGGCTGTCAGGAGGCCTTCAGGGTTTGTCCATCTCACTGGTTTTTGCAGTCTCTCATCTCTTGGCACGTCTGCCATGACTTAGTTTGACCCTGGCCCCATATCCTCCCCTTCCTTTCCCAGACCATTTACCAGGGAAGCTGTAATGCCAAAACTCTGCTCTGAGACTCGGCCTGGCATCACCAGATGCACCAGAGAGCCTTTGTGTTTTGTTACCATGACAGTTTTGCTTTTTATTGGCTATTTGCTTCTTCATTGAGCCACCACGGCCTCAACACATCCCTGGTTTGTTCTGCTGGAGCTTTTCCATATGGGGATGGGGTCTGTGCTGTCTCTGTGCCCTGTGAGGGTTTGTCCCCATGGCTTTAGATGATTAAAATGAAACAGGGATCAGGGTCTGGCTCAGGTTTTCTTGTCCAGGTGAACATCTCTGAGGAGAGCTCACAGGCTCTACCAGTGTAGATGTTTTTGCTCCCTGAAGCAAGAGCTGTTTTCAAGACCCTTGTCCCTTTTGGCAACCCACAGATGTGGCTGTGCATGCCAGGCTCCAGCTCAGTAATGGGGAGAACTGGAAAGCAGCTGGTCCAATCTGTGCTGTTTCCAAAGCTGCCAGTGAACCTGGAAGCATTTTGCCCTCTCCTAATTCCTGTAAATACAGCTGCAGGTGAATTGTTCAAGCAGCATCTGTTTGCCTGGATCTGAGAAACCTGAGCTCACAAGGCTTTCCAAAGCTCAGTGCCAAGCTCAGGCTGGATTTCACCTGTAGCTATGCCTATAATTTAAGGGCAGGTTAATGATTTCAGGTAGAAGCCATGCCAGAATCTCCAGTTTGGATGGTTCTGACCCCAAAACAAGGCTGAATGTCACGCTGCCAGCAATTCCTCTGCTGGAATTTCAGCTCCATTTGACAGTGATGACTGTGGACATGGGGAGATGCTCTCTCCTTCCCACTCCACACAGGAAAAGGTCAGCACAAGCTTTGCAAGCCACAATGGGAAAATACCTCCTTGTTTTAACATGCCATGGGCACCTCCCTTTAAAGCAGAAGCAGCATTTTGCAGTAATTCATTAAACTTGACCAACACAGTGGCCATGACCCAGTGTTTTCCATATGCAGTGATGCTCATGGAAAGGATTGATCACAGATGGGGGTGTGGAGGTCTTCGTTCTTTAGCATCTCCACAAACACCATGCTCAGCCTTGCTGAGAACCTGAGGACATGTCATCAAGGCTGGTGACAGGTCTTTTCTGTCCTGTCTGGTTATTCACACTGCTCCAGCTTCTTCCCTGGAGCAGGAGTTACTCCACACCCCTGTCATCAGGAAGGATGGAGATCTTTTTTTGTTGGTTACTCTTCCCTCCCCTCAAGCCCTTAAAATTTGAAGTTTCTTCACTTTTTCTCAAAAAATTCACGCACAGTGTAGAGTACCTGAGACTTTCAGGAACACCGAGGCAAAACAAGATATAGCTGATAAATGGCAGAGATTTTGTTATTTTAAATCAAGAGCAGATTTTAAACATAGTTGCAGTTGCTGCGTGGTGTATCAAATGCTTTAGGAGATTCAATAAATTATTCTTATAAATGTTTTATTCTTTTATCAGTAATTCATATAGGTGGGTGCCACTGTTACACAGCAACAACGCTCCACACACTAAAACTATATTCCTGTTTCTCCAGTATAGACACTGTATTTATGAAATTTATCTTGCTTGGTGTCACTTTGGCACATTATCCACATGTACTGCACACAGATTGCACATTACATGCCACGTGCTGATAGGTATCTCTACATGCAATCAACATATGTGCATTGAACAGACACCAGAGTGTCACCTGCCTGGTTTGTGATGTGACTCAACGTAGCTGGGAAAAGGAAAAAAAATGAACATCCTGTTCTGTTAAGAAATTCACTGCATTTGAATGCTTCTTTAAACAGATTTTATCAGGAAGCTAAAATACGAGGTTGCCTCTGTGATGCTAATTAAAAAATACCTGAACAAAACAAACACACACAGCCCATAAATACTTAACAGCTACTGTATTCCTATGTATTCTTCATTGCTATTCATCTGAACTGTAAATTCTGTACAGATTGAATGAAGCTCACAGTTTATCTTTGTCATAACCTGCAAGATAAAAGGACAACACAACTTTGGCTGCAGAAGCGTGTGCATGTGGTTGGAGTACACGCACCCACGTGGGGCTGTACATGCATGTGGGTATCAACACGTGTGCACACGTGTTCTTTATCAAAACAGATAAAGCTGCATCTGAGATGCACAGGGGGAAGAAAAATTCTGTTTTGGAGGTGAGACAGTGGGTAAAATAAAACCAAGTTACTTTTTCAATAGTTTGTTTTGTTCAAAAAAAGGAAGATTTGCAGAGGGGATTGGTGTGTGACTGCCATCCCAAGGAGAAATCCCACTTCTGAAGGCAGCACAGGCCATGCAGCAGAGTGAGGCAGTTCTTTGACTGATAATTTATTTGGCTTCCTTTCAAACAAACAAGTATAATAGAGTGGCCAGTGCCAACTTCAAGTCCAAAAAGCCTGTTCCTAAAATGTGTGGCCAAACAGTTGTCCTGTGCTTTTGGAGATCCAAGGGCAAAGTCTTGATGCGCTGTGCCAGGTTGTCCCATGGCAGCAGTGGGAGTGCCAGGGTCTCCCACAAACCTTCTGCCCAAGCAGAGGATCCCGTGGGTCTTACCTTTGCCTATATTTAAAAAAAAAGCCCTAGGTAAGAGATGTTTAAGAACATAAATATTAAAAGCCCATCTTTGATCTTAGAGTTATGGAAGAAAGGACTGGTAAATCTGATTT